AAATTCTTTGCCATGACAGCATACAAGGGCAGGGAGAGAGTTAGGGGGGGATTTGGTACCAGGCACTTCCCAACACAATGATGCATCGTACTAGCACTATGGTGAATCACACATCAACAGTTTCCCTTCTGCACACTGCTTTAAGGTAATAGTCCTGCTGTGCGCAATAGTTCAGGCATTTTGCGCTAACCACTAACAGAAAGACGTGACAAGCAGCTTTTCACAGAAATGTGACATGGTATGACGTGTCTCCTAGTCTATGTACCCCCTGTAATAAGCCACACATAGTTTTTGTGACGGATGGAGTGTGAGCTGCAGCGCGGCCTCGATGTGGGAAAACCCTCCGTGGCGTCTTCACCCAGAGACACGGCCCGCTCAACACCTAAGATGTTAGCAACACGACTGCATGGTTTTCGGGTGAACTCCTACTCCACTTACCCTCTTCACCCCCTTCATCTCAATCACTGAGTGACCTGCCGTTGCGGCAACACACAGGATCGCACTTTGTGCAAAGGCCCATAAAGCGCAACCATAGGTCAGCGAGTGTACGGTGGAAGAGTGTTGGCCTTTGACACGGGCTGTTTCCGGGTTGAAAAGCTCTGGTCCAGGCCCGCCGTGGTGGTCTGCTTCAGATGGACAGCAACTCAATCAGATAACCTCCCCTCTGGGATCAGGTTCACCTCTGAAAGTCTCATCCAAGGCATCCAGAGTAAATCTGCTAGAGTGAAGATGGATATCTGGGTGAGAGTGAAGGAGATATAAGGACGTGACGGTGGAAGTCTGCGTGGGTATTGTAAAATGTAGATGTTTATCTGACCTCTGGAGAAAGGAGCACTGTCAAGGATTTTCCTGAAATCTGGAACGATGCTCATGAAAGTCCAGTCGTTTCTGTGTGAATGATGGCAGCAGGCGTATTAAAAAAATTCAAAGTGCTGTCCTAAAGCAACAAAGTTGAGAGAGGGATACATTCTACCACATTAAGGCATGGGACAGAACTCCACCGTGAACCTCAGCGGTAGATTTTTTGGGGGTTACTGTGACTTTAACAGCGTGAACCGGAAGAAGAAGAATTTCATCGACACCGCTGCCTTTTCTTTTCCGCTCGGGTTTCAGCAGTGGTGGGAGCGTGGATTTCATCATCAAGGCTCACAAAATCGCCGAAAATGAGCGTCCCAGCGTTTATCGATATTACGGAAGAAGACCAGGTACGACCCATGTCTTTAAAAAATATATAATATTCCTTCTTCCATCATGCGGATGAGTCGTTGGATGGATACTACCCGACGAGATACTTTAGCATGCTAGCCACATAGGATGCTAACGGCTGCTGACAGGTTACCTAGCTAATGCTGTTTGTTAGCTAGCTAACGTTACATGCTGCCAATGTGACATATGTTGACGCACGTTAATTGTAAATACATCATTCCGCTTGCCCTTGGGTAAGATGTAACGTACTTAAACTTGTTGAGAATATCGTTTTTCCGTTTGAACTCAATGTGTTTTCGCCTGGCGCCTTCTTAAAATCTCATCAATGTTGTTACTTTAGGATAGCTACGAATGCTAGCTGCTTAGCCATAACGGTAACAAACGAGTATTAAAAATACGTGTGTGTGTCGTTTCCCTTACGGCTCACTGCAGTAAATATCTTTGTGACTCAAAATACAAACATCACATTATATAACGTTAATGAACCACAGCGAGCTATAGAGGTTGAGTAATAGCACATCATGCCAAACTTATTATTTCTACACGTTTGCACTGTTGACTCGCACCTCGGTACTTCCTGTGCTTTTAGAGTTTATGCAAACACTAATAGTAATTTTACATTGTTGCAGGCTTCAGAGCTGAGAGCCTACATGAAGGCCAAAGGAGCTGAAATATCAGAGGAGAACTCTGAAGGGGGACTACATGTGGATCTGGCTCAGATCATTGAGGCGTGCGATGTCTGCCTCAAGGACGATGACAAAGGTAGGTGTGATGAAGAACGACCCGGATTCCTACCCATTGTCACCTCTCAACAGATATAATAATAGAAATAGAAATATGTCGTTTTCATCAGTAGACATTTTGTCTTGTGTTACCAGGAGAAGCATAGAATGAATCAATGTACGTCTGTCGTGTGTCAAGCGTCCCAGTAAGCTATTCCGGAGATCGACGATGCTAAGAAGCCTGGGACTAAATGCACTACACTCTTTTCTGTGTGTCTCTCTGTAGATGTCGAGAGTGTGATGAACAGCATTGTGTCTCTGCTGCTGATCCTGGAGACGGAGAAGCAGGAGGCTCTCATTGAAAGTCTATGTGAGAAACTTTTGAAGTTCCGTGAAGGAGAGAGACCCTCCCTCAGAATGCAGCTGTGAGTCCCCACTGATATTTTTTTCTACTCAAAAGTCTGTTTAGATTACAGGTTCTTATCATTGTTTTGCTCACCAACTAAACATGCCATATGCATGGAGTCTAAGCAGGGCATTGTTTTTATGTAAGTTTGTATAATTGCTATAATTGCTTGCTATATTTATTTATGTATTTACAGTTACATGATGAGGCCTCTGCTCCCTTCCATGTTTTTCTTATTTTGATGCTACAGGTTGAGTAACCTGTTCCACGGCATGGAAGAGAACACTACAGTGAGGTACACTGTGTTCTGTGGCCTCATCAAGGTGGCTGCAACTTCTAATGCCATTGCCTTCATCCCCACTGACCTCGATCAGGTACGTCCTTCATCAGTATGGGAGAAACGTTACGTATGCTGCTAGTTTTGCGCTCACAAAGATGGTTAATAGCTGAAAACAGAGTGAGAAGAGGGAGAAATACCATTAAAAAGACACTGGAAATGACCATAAGCCCTGGTTCATGCTGTGCTTCTTTGTGTTGAGCGTCATAGATGGCAAAAAAAGTTATGCATATTATTTGCACAGGCTGAAATTTCTTCCTCTGCAGTTGATTTATGATACATGTTTGTGCCGCTGATCAGGTGCGCAAGTGGATTATTGACTGGAACCTGACGACAGAGAAGAAGCACACACTCTTGAGGCTGGTGTATGAAGCGTTGGTTGAATGCAAAAAAAGGTAACTACATATGGGGTCAGATGAGTAAATTCATGTGTTTGTATGTACGAACGCAAGAAAATCAACACAATTATATGATATAAGAACTTCCTCATGGGGAGAAATGGTACACATGTGTTTAATTCATACACACACCTCCACATCTAAGACTTTGCTAGAGTGCCCAAAACGTGAATTATCTCTGTTTAAAAGAGTCTTCAACAATGTTCTCGTCATGTCAGTGATGCTGCAGCGAAGGTGATGGTCGAGCTGCTGGGAAGTTACACAGAAGACAATGCGTCACAAGCACGCGTTGACGCCCACAGGTAAACTTAGAGACATAGTTTAACATTTGTCATTAACCCTTGATATGATGTACATCACATGGATCTATTGGGATCCCTTATCTTTTTAGATGTATTGTCCGTGCTCTCAAAGACCCGAACACCTTCCTGATTGACCACCTTCTCACCCTGAAACCTGTTCGCTTCCTGGAGGGAGAACTCATCCATGACGTGAGTACAGAAGGACCTGCAAATTTCTTTGTTGTTAAATAAATAGAAGGCTACTGGTATGGTCAGCAGTGAAAAATGATTTGAAATTGAAAAATGTGACTTACTCTGTGCCTTCTACAGCGCACAAAGCAGATTTAAAGAAAGTTCCCTCAGTCCCCCCCCTCACCCCACCACCTGGGTTTGAGAATACGTGATAGGATGCTAAACATCCCAGCCAACCTGTACCCTCTGCATACAGAGCCAACAGATCCACAAAGGACGCCACTCAACTCTCACACACCTTGAAAACAACAACATCAAGTTGTTGTTCCTTGCCTTCCCATCAACATCACATCTCCCACATGAAACGCAGTAGTTGATAAACGTAGCTCTCTGCGTACTCTGCAACTGGTTGTTAAACAAACGGAACACAGGCGGTTCAAACATGCAACCACACCTCCTCCGTTGGCAAGTTAACAACTTAAGTTCCTGGGAATCACCATCACAGAAGTTGGTGATTAAAACCCCCAGTAACATCATTACTGGCCCTTTTACTGAGCATGAGTGATATTGGCAAGAAGAGGAGGCTGCCAAGAGCTAAAGACAAAATCCATCACAACCTGTCCACCCTGCTCCAGGCTGGAAAGAAGCAGAAGCATGAGCTGCCAAACACCATACTTCAAAACGGCTTCTTTACTCTGGCTGTTAGATTCCAGAATGCATCATTCCCCCTCAATCAATAATATATATATATTTTTTTTCTTCTGTGTAGCAAAATTTGACTAGTCTGTATCGTTGTATAGCCCTGTGGTGCAATGACAAATGAAAAGAACTAATCTAAGTTTCTGAAAACGTAGATACTGTTTACATGATACTGTTGACACGCCCAGACAGATAATGCTTCAAAAACCTGCTCATAAACGGGAATCTTGTTCCCATGTAAACACACAATGTAATATCCTCTGGACTCTTTTACGTGGGTAGTTGGTGTGTTTTTCTCGGTAATATCAGTGACGTGTGTGTGTTAATAAAACCCAATATTTAAATCGTGACCAGTTAAGTGGAATGTTGAGCAGTGGGAATGTCCAGCTTAACAGGTTGAGACAATGGAAACATTTCTTAATTGGGCGTTTTTTTTGGTTTTCATTGGTCAACAGACTGGTATTTCAAAGTATTAAAGTATTTATAGCGGAGCCGATTATCAAGCACAATGGTTATCATTACAAGTTAAACCAGTATCAATACAACGATGACGTGACTGTTTCCAGTGTCTTTTTAATGGTATTTCTCCCTCTTCTCATTGCGTTTTCAGCTGTTAACCATCTTTGTGAGTGCAAAACTAGCAGCATACGTAAAGTTCTACCAGAGTAACAAAGACTTCATTGACTCTCTTGGTAAGCATCCATACATTTATGCATGTATTATTTGCACAGATTCTACACAAACAACTACGGACTAATGTTTGAAAAGTAAAAAGGTTTATTAAGAAACATGGTAAAGGTTTCTGTGCTGTAGAAACCTTTACCATGGTCTGACTGCCCTAAAACCTCAGTGTACACGGTGGTTGATTAGTGATATAATTGATCTCTGCTCTTTACCATGTACATTTTCTACCGTAAATGTATTTAAACTGAAGAAAACACGTTTTAAAATCGAATGCTGCCCTTCTAAGAGCGTATCAAGAGATTACCATCTTAGACAGTTAAGTAGTTTTTGAGAATTTATCTATCAATAACCTTTCCCTCTATAAGGACCGTATTATCATTTATCCTGGTGTTATGATTGGAGACGAATGTAAATTTTTCTTAAATTACCTCTGTAATAAAGTACATATAAAGACTATGTGAACAGCCTTTCCGGTATTAAGCTCTCATAGGTATTGAGTTGACGTGCTGCGCGCGCTGTTGACACAGCACAGGAATGTGTGTGTGTCAGCAGTGTTCCTCTTTCTCCATACGAAAGGCTTTGGTTTAATCACAAGCCTGTGTAGGATGGACTCTCAAAACAAGACAATGTGGTGTTTGCGTTAATGAGTAGGTTCACTGACTGCATGCTCCTGAACGCAGAGACAATTATCACAGGGAAACTCCCGGAGTTGCGTGTAATCGACTGTGACTGTTGGTGCTTAATGATCCCTGCGTGTTGCTCTCCAGGCCTGTCTCACGAGCAAAACATGTCCAAGATGCGCCTGCTGACATTCATGGGCATGGCTGTGGAATTCAAGGAGATCTCCTTTGACACCATGGAACAGGAGCTGCAGATTGGCGCCGAGGAGGTCGAGGCTTTTGTCATTGACGGTACAAGCACTTCCCCGCAGATCAATCGTGGCCTTCTGCCCTTGTAAAGTGTGCTGTTGGTTTCTCACAGGGTCCCACTGGGGGAGGAGAAGAGGTAGAGATGAACCGTGGTCGCAGACGGACACACATTTGTACTCTGCTAGCATGAAATGATGTGTCCTTTTTAAAGAAAGCATCCAGTGGCGCAGGGTTGTTTAAAATGGAACAATGGCAGAGACCCAAGAATAGCACTTTCACTGTTTTCACTGACTTAGATTAGCTTCCTGTCCAATTTTATTCTTTAAGTGCAGAGGTTTTTTTTTCTTTGCTTTCTGTCTAAGCTTCTGCTGTGTTTATTCTTTTCCTCCCTCCTTTTTTTTTTTCTAGCTGTTAAGACCAAGATGGTGTACTGCAAAATTGACCAGACACAGCGAAAGGTTATTGTGAGGTAAGCACTTTCATCAAACATCACACATGGCTTCTTAACTGTTATTTTTATTTTGACTAAATATCTATAATAGAGGGCAGCTATAGCAAATGTTTGCTTGGCCTGATGTGCTTTACCTGAATGATCAGCAAACGCGGTTCTTGGTCCCCAAACAGTGTTCTGCTGATGGTGCCACCATCCATGTGTCTGTGGGAGCGCAGCAATGTTATTCAGTGTTCATTACACTCTGTACCTGAGCATACTCATTTGCTTTTCTTGGACACTGCACCACATTATATATTAATTGGTCTTTTGTGGGGCCCTCTAGTCTCTTTTGTTTTATGATCAGTAATGGGCTGCAATGATTGGCTAACTAACTGGTCAATTGAATGTTTAAGTTTGTATTCCTGAATGTGGGCGAAGTTTTCTGGTCGAGTTTATTTAATTCTGGTCTGTAGAGAAATAGGTAATGCGTGTTGAGAAAAAACTATTTTTGCCTCTGTTTTCAATGCGACGTCTTAATACAGACAGTCATGTCTTATCACGTTTAGGTTTTAATATAGCTCTGCATTGCATTTCCTCACAGTTGTGGGACGTGACCTTGCTCTGTCATTTTGTTTTATTTTTCTTGGTTTTCTGTTTTCCACTCAATCAGCCACAGCACTCACCGCACCTTTGGCAAGCAGCAGTGGCAGCAGCTGCACGACAGCCTCAGCTCCTGGAAGGCCAACCTAGCAACCGTCAAGACCAGTCTGCAAGCCCTGTCACCTTCTGCTTAATTCCCCCCTTACCGACTGTCTAGACTGCCTGGCCCGCTATTCTTTTCTGTTTTCCAAATTCATCCAACTGAATTTATCAGTTTTTATATCAATCCAATAAAAGAACAGTGGAGATCACTTGTGCCTCTTTTCTTTTGAAATGTTTAAATGGACAATTTTTTAAATGTTGTGAAACAGCCTAGCACATACTGTCCCCCTGATGGATGGTCCATATATGCAGACAACAACCCCACTAGCCATACAGGGACTTTAATGGGGGCTTGTCCTCCAGCAATTCTCAACATCTGGTTGTAGTTAAAGGATGCTATGTCATTATTAAATGAGCTATAACTTTGGGTGAGAAATAGCCTACAACACGAGGGTCACTTATCTGGGAACACGAGAGGTTACCGTAGAATTGTGAACTTTTGGTTTACCTTTTGTTTGTTCATTGATGTAACGTTAAGTACCATTTACTGCGCACAGTGATCTGTTCTCAGCAGCGGTCCAGAGCATTAGGAAGTGAACTTTGATATATGGCCCAGGCATTAGGTGTAAAAGGGGTCTGCTGGAGTTCTCCTCCTCTGGGACTCTGATGAAACCACCAAAAATTGACAAAGTGCAGACTACTGGCATTGCACTTTAAATCCCCACCCCAAATAGACACTGCATTTTCCTTTTGAGTAATAAAACCACAGCTCAGCGTGTTTACTTTGTTTCCTTTGAGTGGTCTACCACTCCTCATTCTCCTGATTAAAGTCGTAATCCGATCATTTCACCCCTGCCACTAAAATATGTTCACTCCGATGAAATGGACATTAGAGGTACACATTTATGTCCTTTTCACTATCAGAAGTCTGCAGAGGCTCACCGCTCACTTCCCTCTAGTTGTCCACAGGGAGCCAGCTTCTCTGACGCTTATCAATGGGTGTAAATCACAGAACACATTCTCAGGAGCATGGCCTCATCACAGCCACCTGCAAGGTAGAGCAGATAGAGATGAATGCGACCGCGGCTTTATAATAAACAATATCCTTTTTTTTGCATCCCTCAGAATACGCTATTTTTATTTGCAAACCATTGCGTCTCAGCTCTCATCCTGCAAAAGGGATCCCACTCTCCTTCCGTCTCTTCTCGTCCTCTAATTTTTTCTGGATGGTCCGTCATGTCAGATGTCCCAGACTGTGCAGTGTTTGGTTTATCTGGTGCGAGCCTCACGTCCCCTTATCATAGTCAGAAGTAGTTCTGCATAGTTAAAGGATATGAGGTGATATTACATTTGGATTTGCTTGGCTTAGGTTTTTTCGTTTTGCACATGTAGCTCAGCTTATCAGCAGGAAAGTAATTTGAGTACATTTACTCCTGAACTCTACACTACATTTGAGTGGGATTTATTATGCTTTACAACTCTATTTAACAGCAATGGTTAAGTGACTATTACATTACACTTTAATTTACCATATTGGAACCCTTTCACATTTTACATGTCTCTAATTTTTTAGATGTTTCATTTAAATAACTTAAACGATTTAAACATTATTCAACATTTATCACACCAAAACACACACAAAGATCAGAGAACTGCAGACTCTTTGCCATAGTTTTGTCCCTTGGCTGAGCTAAAACTAGATGAAATTACCTAACTGTATATAAAGTAGTTAAAACTACTCGGCCAGCTATAACAGCACAGTAACAGGGTTTTACTCTTTAAGAGGACTTAAGTCCTGGTTTGAAAAACTTGTCCACGCCCTTTGCTGTATGAGCTGATGTAGGAGCACATGAATTTCCCAGCAGTAAGACACTATTAGTCATTTTAACGTTGATATGGACGTATACGGTGTAAGGTGGCATCTGACATCACACACTAGATAATGTCTGGAATATCTCCTTTTCCTCACCCCTTTTCTTCATATCAACATTCCTCCGGGTAAATCCAAGACTGTGATGGTATCCAGAGACCTCACCAAGTACAGGCGGGGGGGCGGGGGGGTGCTCTTCAATTACCAGAAGCCAGTAGTCACCCAGATAATGTTCATTTGCATCCAATCTCTGCTTTGAATAAACACTGGCTAAGAAGCCCAGAGACAGATATATTTATATTTACGTGGATCATATGAAACATAAACACTGTTATGGTGGACGGCTTACCAAGCAGAATGTGGAACTTTATCTTCACTGTGTTGCCTCATGATGTTTTGGGTGTTTTGAGATGTCTCTAAGGTTGCTATAGTCACCGTTCTTTGCGGTGGAAAGTGACATACTAAGTGTATTTTAACACAGATGCCCGTTGCACAACATTTTCCCATACAAGGCCTGTGAATAGTTGTGTAGTCACCAGCTCTCGAGCTGTTGACTGGAGATTTAGTGCTTTTATGTCCCGATGCGAAGATCCCAAAAGATAGCATCGTTTTACAGCAGTAATTTGTGCTCACCCATTAGAAGTGAAGTTTCAACAATGACCCTGTAAGTGTCATTAAAGTAAGACTGCCCTTTAAATCCTAATATATCTTGGTGTGGAAGATCCCTGTTACATGACACGACATAAGTCAGTGTGTAAACTTAAATGGGGGTCACCTACATTGAATTAAAGGTAAATACCTTCTATTATAACTACTTCAATTGCATTGTTCCCCAGCTGCTTCGAATTTCGTGGTTCCAGCTGCCATCTAGCGTCCATCTGTATTTACTTAAATCATCTCCATTATCCAGGTAGACCTGATCGATTAGTTGAGTCTGCGCAGGTAGTTCAGGAGGAGCTCGAGGCCAAATCTGTTCGGGGAAAACACAACCCATTTTTATCCTGCCGGGACAAAAAACCGGGTGGTTTTCGGACACAATTTTTGATCTTCAAAAGACGATCACCGCGGTAACGTTATTTTTAAAGGTCGCTCTTCGGCCGCTTTGTCACCGGCTGCTTCCTGGTTTCTCTTATCTGCGTCGAGGTCCGAGGACGCGTGAGCTTTCGTTTCGTTTGCGCTGAAATTCTGTCCTTCATTATGTGACACATCGTCGGTAAATTTGAACACAGGTGAGCCTATCTGGTGCCTGGTCGGTGGGGTAGCTACATAATAGTAGTTTATAAAAGCTGGACGCGTTGTTTGGTACTGCGCCCATTAATGCGCCCACCTGTCCGCACGCAGGTGCACTCCGAACCATGTTGTTCCTCCTCCTCCTCCTCCCGCTGCTGTCTCTCGGGGATCTGGCCTGTGTGGAGAGGGTTCCGTCGCAACAAGAAGCCCGAGAAGGTGAGCAGCGGGCAGCAGGTGGGACAAGTGGATCCACTCGAACCGCTCCGATCCGTCAGTGTGCTGTTGATTGACTCGCCTGCTTGGACACGCGTCCCAGTGTTTGTAGATGACGGGGACGCCAACGGCTTCCTGGGTCGCCGGCTGCTGTTCAACCGGTTTGACTTCGAGGTTTTCGTTCCTGGAAACCTGGAGAGGGAGTGCATGGAAGAAGTCTGCAATTACGAGGAAGCGAGGGAGGTTTTTGAAAACATCCCGAAAACAGTGAGTGACGCCGCTCGGTGCACAAGGACGCAGGTACGACGTCACAGTTTAACCCACTAAACATGCTTTGTTTTGCAGGATGATTTTTGGAAGCAATACATTGCAGGTAAGATATGTGTCAGGTACTTCCATGTGTTGTGTCATCTGAGCTACCACTACTTATAATGACTAGTTTAGCCTGTAGCAAAGGCACTTATGTCACTTTCTTCTAAAACCTGTTTCCCCCACATACAAGGTGTGTAGTCTCGAGTACAGTTGCTCTGAACCGAACTGCTTGGTCAGGAATCAAATGGGGGGGGGGACAATTCTACCGCAAGTCTTGTTGTTTTGCGTCAGGGAGGAATAAATTCTGATAAGACCTTATCACTGTCTCCTACTGTAAAACATTAAACTATTCTAAACTCCTGCATGGAAACCACCTTGTGATATTCAGATAGTTACTACTTAGTACAACTCACACTGTCCGGCCACTCACTGTGGCCTGTGATGATCCACAGAAAAGGACCAACAGGGCACACGGGTTGATGTGACGTCTCTTTTGGTGGGACTGATCGCTGTTGGTGTGGCCATTATCATCACTGGACTTCTGCTCTGCTATTTCTGTCAAGGCAAATGCAAGAATATGAGCCGGGCAAAGTAAGTGAAGGGGTCTTTATCGCTGTTGATGGGAGTCACATTGTGCATGCACACTTTGTGCCTCCAAAGACAGTGCCTCCAATGCCATGTATCTAGTACAACTCCATTGCACTACTTTCCCCCAGGTTCTTGGGCAGTTTTTCAATCTGTACACTTGTCTTGGCATACACCACAAGTTTTGATATTTCCAAAACAGTATCTATTGTTCGCACCTGTCTCTGGCTTCAGCAGATGCTTTCATTATTGATTAATCTGCTGATGTGTGTTTTTTGCTTGGAAATTGACTTGAATAGATATTTCATTCTCAAAATAGTAAAAAATAAAATAATGTTTTATTAATAAATTGATCCATACCGGTTTAAACATATGGTTAGGGCTTCTTGTCAAACCTAAATATATAGTTGTGCACAGTTGTTTAACCACAATAAAATCTCACCTTTTACGTAACCTCGTTATTAATTAAGTGTAGTCACACATGTATGAATTGACATGTATCCCTACACGCAGCTCCGTCCAGGCGCGACCGAGGAGGAGTAATGCTCCACTAATAATGCGACGTCTCGACGAGGTGTCCTCACAACCCGTGCTCCCGCCCCCTATGGAGGAAATAGACCCAGCGGGGTTGCCGTCTTATGAGCAGGCGATTGCAAAAAACGGACCCTATGATGCACCACCTCCTCCTTATCCCGGGTATTTGCATAATCTATATCTCACAGCTCACTTCTTTTTTCTATGGTGCATCGTCCATAATGCAGTCACAGAAAGTCTATTAAAATATATCTTTGATGACATCTTCTCTTATTGTTTGTTTTTTAGCTCACGGCATGGGACTATTCGCCGGTAGTGACACAACGCATGTCTCCCAACATGAAGCAGACAATTGAGAAGTAACATTCACACTGTTCTACACTACTAGGTGTTATACTTTTTTTTTTTTTTTTTCTTCATCACAAGATTTCAAGACATGCATTGTGCCTTATGTTTATTGATTACTGATTATCTATTTACACTCATACCTTTTCTAATCTTTCTGGCCTGGTACCTTTTCCTAACTGTTCAATCTCCCTTCTTGATGCGCGTGAGCAAGAACATTGTCCCATATCTGTACTAATTATACGAAATACGATTTATAATACATTTAGCCTGTTTTTTGTCTAAATGCAAATGAAAAATCAATTATTTATACATGAGGGATTTAAATTGCAGGGGTGCCCAGGCCCTTAACGAGCAGTTGCTTCAGACACTGCCTGATGAGAAAGACTGAGAAGATGATTATTATTGTGATTCCTTACATGATAGGTATTGCTTGCAAATTAAGCTAAACAGAATGATCTGCATAGTCGTACAGCTTCCTGTTTCCAGAAGAAAAAATAGGAACACAACAGCTGGATTGACTGGCATTATCATTTATATATATATTATATAATATTAGCTATACAGAAAAATCTTTTAAGGAAAATACAAATATTTTTATTCAATGATCTACCTTACTTGCTTTGTAAAAAATCGTTGTACTTCATGCTTTATTTAATCTTTTCTTAAATTTTATTACTGTTAATACTACTACTGTATAAACTTCTCTTGTGTCATCAACCAATGAGAATACTCTTCTGAAATGTGAAGTAATGTTTAATTTCAATATATACATTGCTGTTGTTTATTAAATGCTCTATAAATAGATGGAGGTGAAAAGTCCCTAAAAGCAGTTTTACAATATTTTACATTCATACAGAGCAACATAAATCTATAAAGCTGTGAGAAAGGAGAGCTAAAACAAGTCACTTACCTATCTGTAATTTTACATGAAGCTGATCTGTACCGTGACTACCTGAAGTGACAATTTATCTAAATATTTTTAAATAAAGTTGATATTTAAATTCTCATTGTCTCCTCTTTCGACCGTGTTTGAGGTAGTGTACATGGGTTCAAGATGGCTCAATGGTGTTCTCTTTTTTTTTTTTTTTTTTTTTTCTTTTTTTTTCTGGTGTGCATATGTCGATGAACATTGTATTTTATCCTTTATGTCCTTTGTCACTAACAAGTTGTTGTCAGCCCATTAAATTAGCGGCCGAGAGCTGTTTCTTTGAGGATGCTAAATGGGACAAAGTTTCCCAAATAACACGAGTATTAATAAGGATGCTGCACAACAGTCATCCTAATACAAGTGTCAGAGGGGAGTTCTAACAAAACCTGTATGTTATTTGCCTGAATGTATTAAGATTTCATTTAAGTTAGCTTGGGACTTTGTTTCTATGCCAAAACAAATCACTTGATATGTAGATTTGGGGTTTCTGTGACATTGTATAAATCACTTCTGGAATCTTAAATCATCTCAAAAACAATAATCGAGCTGAACTTTTAGACGGAGTTGAGGAAAAAGCGAGAACTACAAAACTTCCAGCGAAAGTCTGCGGTGCATCCTGGGAAATTCACTAACATCGGTACGTGAAGCCATGCAAGGCTTGCACGACTCCCCGTGACGGGAGACCGACAAAAAAACATCCGAATCCCCCCAGAAGACTCGGGAAAAAAGGTACATTCTTCTCCGGGACACTTTACGAGTTCACGGACCGTGCAGCGCTCCGACGGGGCACCGCCTGCCCGCCCGCTCGCTGGGTCGGACCCCGGGGGGCTGCTACGATGCGTGTCCGCTGCTCCACGAAGCTCCGCCGGGGAAGTGAATCTCTCACCGGATGATGGACACGAACTACCCGACCTCCAGCTTCGCGGACGCGCTGGCTCCACCAGCACAGACCGTAGCTTCTTGGGCCTATGACCGCAGCACGGCCACTGCCAAGCCGAGGTAGGGAGATGAAGGAGAGGGCACCTTCCGAGGGAAACTGCGGCGGTGCTTGGGGGGGTGTTTGGTGGCGATGGTGTGTGGGGCGGCGTGGGGGGGTCAGCTAGCTTCCCTGTTGTGGAAAAGTGCAACGGTCCTCGTCGTTGTGGAGTAAATTGGAGGAATGCCCGTGTTGCATTCAGACGCAGTAGCGGAGCCTTTGACTTGCCGTTGCGGGCGCGCACCTTGCTAGGTCGGCTAGCACGCCGTCTCCTCGGCGTGGCCACGGACACCGTCCCCCCCCAAACACACACACACACACACACACATACACACTCGTTTCATACGTGTAGTAATCTGACCATCTGGGCAGCTTAGCTAAACATGTATCCGAGTGTTTTTCTTGACCCTCGCGGGTAGGTGACTAGCTACCGATGCTAGCCGCGTCAGTTGTGTCCAAACCCCCGAACTAGTGGTAACGTCTCCCGGCTAACGTCGTTGTCTTCGCCTCGCAGCTAAGCGACGTCACTTCGGCGCCCGACTCGTCGTGTTAGTTTACGAGTTCGAGCTCGGTTGACGTGTTTGACGTTCTTTCAACTTGCTTTTATATTTTGTCAAACAGACCCCCAAGTTTCGGAGCTCTAATTTAGTGGAACATCCAGACTGTTGTGTAATGATCTTCTCCATCTTGTAAGTGATACAAATGGATCTCACCCGAGGACACGAGTCGTGTCCCTTTGGTCGGGTTGCGCTCATAAGCAGCGCACAAGTTAATCAATGACTAAGTATTACCAAGTCTTTAGATAAGAACCAGAAGAGATCAAGTGAGATTAGACCACCGGAATGAGAACTTCCTCGATCTGTTGAATGAGGGATCCTTTTGTTTTCACCGCTCCCAGGTACAGATGTCAGAGGACACATTTCACATCTGCACAGATAATAAGTTGATGTTGTGGAAGTCTGCCGTGTTGTTGTACCGGACTGCATTATGTCCAGAGGTGTGTCAAATGCTTCACCCAGTGCCTCACAAACAACACCAGTGCAACGCAATCACTAACTATGACCTCAGTTCAAAAACAGGCTGTTTTGATTTACTCCTCTTTGACCGTGTCAATCAAAAACTGAACTTTATAGCTAGTCTTTGTGGCATTGCATTAATCGGGTATGCCTGTGTATGGTACTTTATAGTTAAGCTAAGAAGAGTTGCGTAACAGAAAATGCCAGTGCTTGTCTATTGAAGGGATAAAAATAAAAAAAAGCGGCTGATGACTTCAGCTTTGTTCTTCCACAGACGAACACCTTCAGGCAATAAGAGAACAAGCCGGCTGCGTGATATTCCCTCAGATTTCATAACTGTTTCACACAAATCTTTTTTCAGAGAGAATATAGAATGTAATGTGTCAGATATAAAACATATTTTCCCCATGTCTCAAGGTAACAGAGTACTAGAGCTCCTCACGCCAAGAGGAGCAATCCGTGTCGTTTGCTCTGTCGGGTGGCTCCATCGCTTCTTGCCAAGATGAGAGCTTTCATGTGAGCGTGTTTGTGTGTTGACGCAGTTCCAGTTATGGCGCGGCGCACCTTGATGCAGAGCTCCTCCAGAGGCAAAGCTACGCTGATAACCACCAGCTTCCCACCTACACCACGTCGCACCTGCCTGCGACCGCAGGTGAGTTATAAATGGTTTAGAAAGTGCCAGTACACCCAAATTACTATGGCAATATTTTTAGTTGATACACTTTGTCTTAATCTGTCAAATCTGAGATGCATGTGCCGCCTATACAAATAGGGATTGCAAAGGATGTTTAATTGGAGGTACTCACAAACTGAAAAGCTTTGTTTCACAAACTCGGACATAAGCCTCAATGCAGACAGTATTTTGTTGGGTTCATTTCATTACAAGAAACTACTTCAATTTCACAAGTATACATAGTATACAAGTATTTATGCCTGGTCCATTTATCTGGGAAATTTGTGGAGCTCACTCGAGGCTACTGAGAGATGAGTTAATTCCTTTGCAATTTGGGTGAAGTAACTGGTTAATGGCTATTGCTTACCTGACGCGTAGCACACGGATTACTATGTGGCCCTTTTCTGTGGTTATGTTCACGTTCCTGTTTCTTTAACCTTCAGGAACACTTGACTCGAGCAGTAATTCTTCTGAGACCTCAATCATGAGCTTCCTGTCAGCCATGGAGCCGAGAAGCCTTCAGGCTGGTCCTGTCGGTGCCTCACTGCTTCCTCCTTTTAGACCCCCGTCATGGCCCGCCGGTGAGAACACGTCCACTGTTTATGTGTTATTTTCACGCTACCACCTATTGGACTATGGACGTTTTGTCTATTCATATGGGCTTCTTATGATTTTAAATGCACTACAGAGTGGTAAATACGCAGGGTGTTTTGTCCAGTTTATTTGTGAGAAACATTTACTGATACAAGTGTTTGTGTATAAACACTGTATTGTGTTTTAAATCTACAATAACAAAGCTACGATACTATTGTGTTCTAGACGAGATCCTTTTTACATGTTGTACTATGATCTTTATTTTAAAGATTTAAATAACACAAACACGGTAATATATTCTTAACTATTGAAGCAGAGAAGCCATAGCTCTTAAAAGTACTTTGGAGAGGCTTCTACTGAAGTTGGTTGGTGTCCATACCTCCACATATTATCAAAGACTTTTGATAATGTGACTAGCGTGCGATATTGCGATTAGGATCTCACCCCTTCGTGTTTGCCGGTTGAGCCCTTATTTTGCCTTCTTTGCACAATGCAGGTACCAACTCCAGCACTGAGCTGTATTTGACTGGTGCCCTGCCTTCTACTGCCACTTTCCCCTCTCCTGCCGCTCTGTCGTCGTACCAGCACCCTGGTGCCTACCCTTCCCGGAGTTACGCTACCAACCCGCCCTTGGCTCTCCAGGATCCTGCCTTCAGCACTTCCACCAATGGCCTGTTCTCTCACCACGACCCCCTCATCCACCTCAAGTCCAGCCAGTCTCTGCTTCCCACCGCGCTGGCCTTCAATCATCTCTCCACCCCGGCTTTGGCTTCGGCTCTGCCCGTCCAGTCCTCGACCTACCGATCGGCTCAGGAGTCGGCCCCCCACCTCCTACAACCCCAGTTCAGCCTGCTGCCCTCCTCTGCCCTGCCCGGCCCTCAACACCCCTACGGGGCCGCCGTTTTCTCCGGCTCCATTGAGAGAGCTCTTCAGCGTGAATGTAGTGTGATCAAACACCACCAGAGGCCTTCCAGCAGCCACGACGCCTCGGAGCAATTGGCCAATGCAGAGCACCCCTTACAGGGGTACTTTGGCTCTGGCGGTGAAGCGGATGTGTCCTACCAGCAGGACCCCTCCCGTCAGACCCCTCTGTCCTGCAGCCCTTCCCCGGGAGCCGATTCCTCCCAAGGGGTCCATCGGGCGCCACAACCCAACACCGACTCCGTACCTCGAGCGTATTCCTCCACGTCTGTGCCAAAAGTGAAAGACTGCTCTTCCAAGGTGGCTCAACACCCGATTGGGGATGAGGAGGGTCATGAGCACCCTCGAAAGCTGACTGGAGGGTCCCCCGACCATTACTCCTCCCCAGGACAGAAGCAGAACTCGGTGATTGCTAACCAGCAGTCAGGCCAGCTGTCCGGCCTGATGTCCAGTAGTCTGTGTCAAACCTATATCCCCCCACAAGCCCAGTCACAGCCCCCCCATTCGACCTCAGACAAACACTCTCCCCTTTACAAGACTCTACCTTCCCTCTCCAGCCAGTCTGACGTGTCATCTGTTGGTCAGACTCTTGTTTACTCCTCCAGTCCCAGGATGAGCCATGAGCAGGAGATCCAGTACGGAGCCCAGGTCCAGGGCTTGTGTCAGGGGAGTCTCTCAGAGAGCTACCCCACATTGCACTCTCAGGGGGCCCCCAATGTGACTTTCACATCTCAAGCACAGGGGCACGGTTTGGTGACTCCGAGCTATTCCACGGGACCATCGCTCATATCCTCCTACCCGCTGACATGCGTGCGGAGTCTCCCCACGTCAAGTTCCTCGCAGGACTACACCCTCATGCAAGAGTCAGTGGGGGGTAAAACGCATGACACGCTGTCCCAGCAGCAGACACAGACCCACAAATATGTTTTGTCCACACCGTTGCCTACCTACTCTTCACCCGCTCAAGCCTTACAGAATAACGTCAGATCCTCAATACAGGACATTAAGCCAACATATGAGAAACACAAACTCGTAGAGCTTCCTATCCAGGACCTGGATGCGCTCCAGCAGGCATCAATGGAAGACTCTGCTGCAGCTAGTAATATGTCTGCTCACAACAATGTCATCTATGTAGTTTCAAAAATGGACGATAATCACAAAACGCAAAGCGTTATCCGAAGTTATTCACGGTCTGACGACCAGCTGCTGGGACTAGTTCACACAAACGCGGAGCAGACAAAGGATGAAAGGATGGGTTCTCTGAGCCATCAGCACATCCATCTAAGCAGTGCCAACGGCCAGGAAAACGCCAACACAAAAACTACAAACTCCAGTATTATTGCTACACATGTACCACTTGACTCGGAGCAGCTCAAACAGCACCCGCTCCAGCTCAAATCTCCAGAGCCGCATCATCAAAACCCCCAGAATCACTCCCAGTCTCAGAGCCAGACCCCGGCGGCCCACCCCCAATTCATCACCATCCCCAGCGCTCTTCTCGAACCCAACCAGATGATTGTACTCCAGCAGCCGCTTGTCCACCACAGTCAAAACCCCTCAAAGGTGGTGTCCGTTCAAGGTATCCAACGGGGCCAAGATCTGGGCCCTGTTCATGTCCAGTATCTTCAGATGGGCCGCGAACTGCTGGGCCCCAGTGTCACTGAAACCCTCAGACAGCAGGGCCCCGCCGCGTCTGAGCAGGGCTCCGGATGCCCTGATAACTCCAAACACCACTACAGCCAGACGGCAAATCAGCCACCAAACGATGCCAAGAACCACTTTGCCCTCAACTCCATTTGTTTCCCCGATTCGATGCTACTCGCAGATGAGCGAAATATTCTGTCAAACGTGGACGACATCCTGGCCGCCACGGTGGCGGCCTGCGGCGTCACACCGCAGGACTTTGTCAAAGCCACGTCCTCCGCCGAGGCGGAAATGGCAGCGATGGCGAGTCCCGTCGATTCCAAAGGCCACTTCCAGACTGTGGATATAAGGCACGTGTCCCCTAGTTTCTCCGCGGCACAACAGGCCATCATGACCAACACCATGACACTAAATGAAGTTCAGATGGCCACAGGCTGCCACGGTCAGCCCGTTCACCACGGTCCTTCTGAGCTGGACGCAAATGGAGATGGAGGAAGCTCTGAGAACGATTACCACTTGGCAGGGCAGGCGTACGACCCGCCGGCTCTCGGAGTCAAAGGGAACGTAAAGGGTGTTAAAGGCGAGGGCGGCCTCGCGGAGTGCCACGGTGGTGAAGACTTTCCGAAAAAGAAGGCCCGCCCTAAATCCTCGATCAGACCCGGTGGGCCGGAGGAGGACTGTGGGCAGGTTAGACCGACCAAGCGCAGCGGGCAGGCAAAGCGGCAGAACTCCAGGGGCAGTGACGGCAGCTCGCCGTCCGCCTCCCAGGGGGTGTTTGATGGCTGCCAGCAGGAGAGGATCAGACAAAAGATCCGAGAAGTCGAAGAGAAACAGCCAGAGGTCAAAACCGGCTTTATTGGCTCCTTCCTCGACTTCATCAAATCGGGCCCCAAACATCAATACTCCCCGAGTCCCACGCGGACGATTAATCGCCCTAGAAAGCCCGGCACCACCGCCAAGCCACCGGCGTGTCCGCTGCCTCCTTTGCCTCCCAAGCTGCAGACTCTGCCCGGGCCCTTGATTCCCCAGGAGAGCCAAGGAGTGAGCATCCAACAGAAGCGTCTGGATGAGGATTTGCAGAAAAACCTGGAGACTCTGCCGTCGTTCAGCTCCGACGAAGAGGAGAACACTGGGAAGAACCAGGCCCTGAGGAACAGCATCAGCTCGGCGCTTTCCGCTCTGGATGAGTCTTCGGATCGGAAAACCAGAGCAGGTAATCGTACCCGGCTTAGGCTGCTCAAGAGCCTCCGGTGTTCTCATCATGACAGCGACCTACACATTTTTATAATATTGTTTATCTATTCATTGTTTGTTTTTTTTTACATTCACAAAATTTTCAAAATACTGAAAAGACGTAATTCTCCAGCCAACCAAGATTTTTCAGCATTGCTGAAGCTGCAAGTCTATTTTGGCTTAAGTATTTTTTGTTGTGCTGTTTTTTCAACTTTATCATATATGTAATATGAGTAATACCATTTAATTAATATAAAATATTATACAAGTAATGTGGTCTCATGTATAACAATTTTTCCCTTTTTATGAAAGTTGTTTTTATTCATTTTAAACACGAGAAGTTGTTTCTTCCTGACAATTATCCTCTCCTTCTCCAGATAACCCAATCCCCGGTTTGATGATGAAAACGGTCCAAGTTCCCATCATGCCTCTTGTCGTTACCAATACCTGTTTGTCACGGTTCACCACACCTACACAGACGACAAGCGCCGTCTCAGCTGCGACCGTGTTCGTGGCCAAGGAGAAGTCCAAAGAGACCCCACCAGGCCAGACGGCCGTGCAGTTGACGAGTGTGGCCATTGAGGGACTCACCGACGAGGAGCTGTCGGACAGCGGAGGCGAGGGGATGTACAGGGAGAGAGACGAGTTTGTTGTCCGGAACGAAGACATCGAAAACCTGAAGGTACAGCTTTGCAAAAAAAAAAGCGCATCTGGATAATAATGTGCCTCATATCAGAGTCACATCACAGTTTCCCCACTGTAACCTCTACTACGTGTGTCTAGGTCACGATGAGAGCAGGTAGTGAGCCTCCAGCCATCTGGAAAGTCCAGAAGGCGCTGCTGCAGAAATTTGTGCCCGAAGTGAGAGATGGAAGGAGAGTCTTCTCAGCCACCAACAGCGTGAGTCAAAGCAGACGCGTGGACGCATCAGTCGTCGATCATTCAAGTGTTTGTTTGTTTTTTTCCTTCAGTCTGCAAAAAGTAAAATGTTTCTTCTCTTGGGCAGTATCTTGGATACTTTGGCGATGCCAAGACCATGTACCAGAGGGTGTATGTGAAGTTCTTGGACACCGTAAACAAAAGGGAGTATGTTCGTGTTTGCAGTCGGAAGCCGCGCTGCAAGCCCATAAACTCGCTACGGTACGCGCAGGGCGCTGACTGACGTAATGCCTGAAACGTGGCGCTCCGGCTGTCTAACTTTTCTTTGTTCTGAAACCCAGGGGTGTTCAGGTGAAAACATTGCTGGGCTTGACAGCCGACCCCTCCTTAGTATCCCAAAGCCAAAAGGCTCGGCCCAAACAACTCAAGCCCAGGGCAGAGCCCCCACCTAAGAAGAGGAGGAAATGGAAGGAGGAGTTTTCCCCGCACGCCTCGGGATCATCTGCTGAAGATGGAGGTGAAGATGCCGTTTAATTACATATTGTTATCGTCAGTATCTTCCTGCTCTTCTTCATGTGTGATCTCCCCCAAACCTCCTCTTAGAGTTAGAGCCCTCAGTGCCGTTCGCGTCGCGGTTGCTCAACACGAGGACCATGAAGGAGACATTCAGGAGCTTTGTGGAACTGCTCATCAGCATTGCCTTAGATGAAGATGTAATGACAGCACTTGAGAGGGCAAACGGTGAGTGAACTAACCTTTTTTTGATAATTATTAGCTTTATCACAGAGCAAGAATCGTGTATTTAAAAGTAAATCAACAAGGTAAAAACAGGTTGGTGGTATACTTAAGGTGTGTTGACTGTTTTAGATGAGTTTCTGCTGCCACAGATGAAAAGAGTGGATGGGATGATCAGCGACAACAGGAAACGCCTGCTTCACAAACTGCACATAGGGCAGGTCCTAAAGGTGGGTTGGATTGATGTTTGTTGTGTGATTACTCTTACTCCAAAAGACTTAAGAGTAATCTTACAAACAAACAAAACGGCAACCCAAGTAACTCCCTTGTTGTGGGTCCTCAGACGGCTCTCGACAGCTTCCCAGAGATTGCCGTTGTGACCGAGCTTACGAAGGACGGGGAAACCCCGGCCTTTAAGGTGCGTCTCAGTGGGAAGGCCTACAACAAGAAAACTATGAAGCCCTACAAGATGCTGAACAAAGTGCCTCAGGTGAGACAAGAACCCTGTACTTTCAGTATCCGTCCAGCAGAGAGCACCATTTAGTCTTTGTAACTCTTTTTTAATCCGCTCCACACTGCAGCCACGGTTCACTTCCCTGCCTTCTCATCCCTTAAGGCCGGCGCGTGCTTCTGCGTCTGCGTCGTTGGGTCGACGCACTCGTTTCAATTCATGGTTCTGCGTGTGTTGCAAAGCAATTCACCGCCAGAACAACAGGCGAAGTGACGTGTTTTGTTGAAGACGACCTAGAGAGTCATGTTTATTTATTATTTGTTTATTTATGTATCATAGACTTTATTGCCCCGTGCATCGCCACTGCTGCTTTTTCATCGCGGACACATTTGTCCCGTATTTTCCTCCACAACTTTGTGCACCTCTCGACGGGCAAACCGGCGTTTGCGGCGATCTCCCTCCATGAATCCAACCCGCTTCTACAACCTGCCAATGACGGCTTGTATAAGCGCTCATATTTACGCATTTCTTCCGACAAAAGCTCTTAAATCTGCTCCGTTCTCTCGTAAACATTCTTTGTTTTAATAATGGCGGTATCGGGCTATGAAAGCGAAAATATGAGACTCCGTAAAGGACGTAGTTAGCGGACCAATCGCAGCCTGGTGCGCTGTGTGAGGCTTGCGTTGCTTTCGACGCAAGCCTAGAAAAACGGCTCGACACACGCAAGGACGCAAGGAGGTGTGAAAAGCGACGCAAGGGACACGCGAGGGGGGCTTGCGTCTGCGTCGCTCTGAAAACGCAGAAGCATAAACTAGGCTTTACAAGATGTTGTGGAAACGCGTGTGCTTTTTGCTTGTTGTCTCTTCTAGGAGTATACAGTGGACCAGCAGAAAACTCAGTGGTTCTCCCTGTACCACTCTTTGCAGCATTACAAGTACCACACGTTCCTTATGTGCAAGGACGAGGTGAGACATTCACTCCACTGTGCTCGCTGTTCTAGTCTGTGTTGTAGACAAATGTTACGCTCCCACGGTTAGTTTTTAACAGGTTTCATTTCAGATGCTAATTATTCAGGTGACACTTTGGTGTGCTTTTTGAGAGCGTTTAAAAAAAAATATTGTGCTTCTGCCCTGCAGATAGCATCTATGCGGGTGCAGTCATTGGACGTGGGGCAGGAGGAGACGGTTCAGAAGTGTCTGCAGAACGGAACTTGGGTGGAGGGGCTCTTCGACCGCTTCGGAGAGCTGATCAATCAAGTGCAGCAGGCCTGCCGGTGATCCAGCCCCCCACCGGGCTCGGCTTTTAAACAAAACTCAAAGCAAACCTTAAAACCAAAAAATGCCAACACTTAAGGATGCGTCCGGCTGAACGTGGCCGCTGAGGAGGATGGAGGGAGCGTCTTCGTCCAGCCGCGGAGAGACTTGAATCGGGGACCTGTCAGGACAAGACATTTTGGGGGTCCGTGGCCTAAAGGGGGCAGCGGTTGGACAGCGAGACGGCAGTAAAGTTAAATGTCACCACATCTCATCAGAAAGCAGCAGCGTGATCGACAGATGACAAGGACTTTGGTATTGAGAGCGTTTTCTTTTTTTTTATTGCTTCCACATAATGGTTGGCCTAGTCTTTGTAAATATTTTGTAGTTACAAGCCCACTTTTCGTTTAATGTCAGATTATAACCAGTGTGTACGCACTAGATAGAAAGTAATCTGCATGGGATATAGTGCACAGAGTTAGATAGATATATAGATTTATTGTAAAAACTAAAAATATGAAAAAAACCTTTATAACCGTTTATATATATATATATATAAACCATTGGATAATGTTTGTAAGACATCCATTTTTTATGGAGCACAAACTTATATATATTGTACATTTTGTATAAAAGAACAGGAGGGGGAACTGCAGCAACTCTCTTCAGGGAGAGTTTAGTAAACTATATACTGGATCTATATTGTTGTTTAACTTTTGTTCTTCAAACACACATTTTCTTATCAGATGCAAATCAGCGTTGTTCCAGTACTGCTTTTTAGGAATTTATCAAATACTATGACCTTGACTTACCTGATGGTGAAATGAAATTAAATAAGAGGGGTCTTTATACTCCTTTACAGATTTAGCCCACATTTTATGACAAAAAATATATAAATATATATTTTTCACTTAAGTAAATATTGTTCAAAGACACTTTTTCAAGGTTTTTTCACAGTTTTCCAAAATGGACTCTTTATATGTTATCAATTTTACACTTCAAAAACAATGTTGTTTACAGATGCGGTTTGTAAATAAAGTGCGGCATGTATTTTTTTTGCTATGATGTGTTTTGTCGGAGCGGGTAAGCATTTTCCAAGTGACCTGGGGCCAGTGAGTGACGCCATAGATCGCAGCATTAAAGTCCTCTGGTCCATTGAATCGGCTCCAGTGACACAGGATCTCTTGTCTGATACACGCACAGTGAGATTAGAACTTCTCATCCTCGGCAGCGACACTGTTAGACACCATAACGCCGCATCGGCCAACTCAAACAAAGTGTGTCCCTCAGCTCAGAGAGGTTCAAACATCACCTTCACGTCCATATAGGCTCATATTCTGTGGCGTGGAAGACGTGATCGCTGTGCTCGCCCACCATGCTCTCATGGCCAAACTATTCACTGGGACTCGGTGGCGGACTTTGTGTCGTCTGAGAGGGTCCTGAGCCTGATGAATAAAATATGATTATCCAGAACATAATGCCAAATGACTGGCAACCCCCCCCAAAAAACAAAAGGGGCTCTGTGAGGAAAGCCTCTGTCCTCTGTCCTTTATTGCTGCGGAGGACGGCCAGTCAGACAAGCGTTTGAGATTCCAGCGCGGGCACAACTGGTGGAGACCGACGCTGAATGTCTCGATATGAATCACTGCATCGTTTCATATGTGGGAGACGGACTGAGGGGATCCTCGAGGCAGCGTATGAATGTGGGAAGGCCACAGTGACGGGACGGCTGTGTGTTCTCCGGTTCAGTTTAAGGTACTGTGTAGTTTTAAAGCTGCTTTAACCCGTCCCACATGCACTTGATGAACAGTGCCATCTTTGCATTTGTCAGTTCTGGAAAGTAACTTAAGTATATTCACTCAAGCGCTGTACTTTTGAGTGCAACTTTAAGGTACTTCTATCAAACAGTGGAAAACATAAATAGACTGTTGAGTTACTAGAACAATTAGTTTTCTTCTACTGTTACAGAAACTACTGCACTGTATGATGAGTTTAAACAACGGACCAGGTTTCTAAATGCCTTCGCTTGTGCTACTTCGCAACAAAGCAGTCTGTAGTTTGAGCCTTTTGTGAGGCGTCCACCATTTTACCCTCCGAATTTCTTTACATTTCTTTAAGCTCATTGTTTAGACCAACAGAGGCAACATATTTTACATGTGCAGAACTTTCAAGAATATCAGCAAACAAAAACACATTTGTGTCTGAAAATCTTGTTTTGCATGATCCTTCTGATCATATGACAGTGGACTAAACCACCCAATTATAAATAAAATGGTTACGAGTAGCTTCACCTCAACCAGCTTCATTTTTACCCAGGTTACATCGCAAAACCATTACTTGTATAATCCCTCTAAGGCTGACATTATGGGCATATTTGTCTCGCTTCATTGGCTCCCTTAGCAGAAACCATCTTTTTAAATTCCTCTTCCCGGAGGAAATTCCTTTGCCATCATTAGAACTGTAAACAACAGCACTTTACTGACATTGCATGACCGATAAGAATGAAGGGGAATGAAAAGGACATTTGCACGACTTCCCGGCTATACGTGGATACAACCCGTAGAGTAAATACCGATTTGACCTTGTTGGGCTAGAATTACTGATAGTATAAACCAGCGGGCTCTCTCGCTCCTTTTCTCTGTCTCACCTTCCGTGTTGGCTTAAAACAATGTCTCACTCCATTGCACTGATGTCAGCGTAGTGGCAAGTTTACAAAATACCAGCACATCATTCTGCAGTGCCCTCATCTGAAGTTGTGAAACCCGTTTGTCCCTCAGACCAATGGTTTCTCACTCGAGCTGAACGCACTCAAGTTAGCTCTCGTTTAAGGTGTGTATTTCCTTGTACTCCGTTTCTATGGACACAATGGCTGTGTGAATATAAAAATACCTCTAATTCATCTGCTGTAACAGAGAAAAAAGTTTATGTAGTTTAGAGTTTACGTACACATGCAGCACAACGACCAAGTACCCTGAGCTTCTGTGAATTCAGGGCTCGCAGATTGTTGATTTCCAGAAACTCACCGCTTATGACTCATACCTCATTCTGCAGAGAGTCAAGGTCAAGTGGTATAGTTAAACAGTTATGCTTTTTTTTTGCCACCGGGGTTAAAAACTTAGACTTCCAGACACGGTTAAATGCAATGGCAATATGCCGTTTCTATGCCAAGCAAGGGATTAAAGCAAAAAAAGTGTTATAGTCCTAATGATACTTTTGAATAGTAGTATGATTTATGGCCTAATGGTTTATCTTTTTCCATGGCATCCTTTTTCTTTTCATAAATTATTTCTTTTGGACGTGTCTTTAAAAACTTTGCACAGGGAGATAAACCTTAACCGTTAACCAGTGACGTTGCACTTCATGGGCAACATCCTGACCCCTAAAAGTCATCAAGTCGTCCTCACTTTGTATTCTTTTATGGGCATTCCAGAAATAAGTGCTGCATTAAGATGGCGCTTACTTACAGCACTAGTTTTGTAGTTCTTGTTGTTCTGGGTGTGTTCCCTTCTTCTCATTGTAAGTCACTTTGGATAAAAGTATCAGCTAAAGGAAATGTTTTGTAAAATATTTCATGAAGTTGGTGGACTCAAAAGAGGCGGCCAAGACATCCTTTTTTATTTTCCTTTTAAGTGGTTCAAGCTCATGAATCAGGCGCTCTTCCAACGACGAGTAAATTGAACACTGTGTCGAAAGTTACACGCGTGCACATCTGCAGTTTCCTTAGAGCATGCTTGCCTTGCTCAAGAGCAGCACAACAATATGTGGAGCAGGATGACATTTCTGCTCACTGACCAAATGATTAAAAACATTGTTTTAGAGCACCGCCTCTTTCTTTTTGTGCTCACGCATTCTCCCCCCAGGTCATCTGAAGGAGCATTTTTCTAGAGGCCAGTAATCAAACCGGTTTACACGCCTTCCCGTTGCACCACCCGAGTGGCGTGTGGCGATGTGTACATGCTTGCAGATGATGGCCTTCGTTTCGGGCCCAGATGAGGTGGAACGATGAGGTCACACGATTCAAACAGTTTCTTATTTCTGTGTATGTGTGTTTCTGTCCTTCAAATCGCTGTTATTTGAACATTTCTCACATAGTAGCTGCTTTTAAATGCTGCTTCTTTATCAGATCAGATTTACAGTGTGGGCTTTAAGGGTGTGACTTTGTGAGTCCAAACCCTGTAAAAAAAAAAAAAGAGAATTTCCTTCAAATTAAAAATATTTTAGTTAGCCAATGATAATACTTAATGAAAAAACTAGAGGGAAAAAAGTAGAAATGGTAGATCTGCAAACCCTTTTGTACTCAGCATTGTGTTATATTATATAAAGCCTTCGCGTGATAAAACAAACAATATCATGTATGGCACCTTTAAAGGTAACAAATATCACACGGATACGTCACACATAAAAAGCACAGCAACTATTCCTCTTTCTTATTATTTCAGTTCCGGAAAATGAAAATTGGTCAAACTTCAAGGAAGCAGCTCGAGTCTCATTTCCACGGTAATGTCCGGATGGGAGGCGATCGGGGAGAGAATAATGTCGCTGTGGGAGGAGACGGTTTCGGGCTTGTTTGTAGTTGGTTGCGTGCGTCACGTCGGGAGTTGGAGAGCAGGGACGTGGTCTGAATGGCCGGTTCCTCGGTCACTGGAAGAAGTTCGCATGCACCGAACGGCAGGTAGGCGAATACCAGCTGGATCACCTTGAGCCGAAAGAGTAAATGCTGCGTTTAGTTCATTTAGCGTCGGATGTGTGTTTTTTTTTGGGGGGGGGGAGTTAAGCAGCTTGTTAAACGTGCTGACTTGAAATCGGAAGAAATGTATTTCCATTTGCTTGCTGCTCGTTTTGATTTGACTGAAAGTACTGGTATCTTACTGGAAAAGGTAATGTGCCAACCATGGCGTTTTTTACGCACGTCGTTTGGGAATATTTATGCCATTTTGTATTTCTGACAATTTACATATCGTTATGTAACATGTCACCAGCGTCTATGTCACTGTTGTTTGCACATTAATTAAAGTAATTAAGTTGGTCGCTTAAGGGAACCTTTTTATAAGAGAAAAAAACAACCGATCGAACGAACGATTATTTTTAATTTGTAATTGAGCTACTGCCTTTACTCAATTACAATAAATCCATTAATGCTCTGTGGATGAGCGTAAAGCTTTGAATAAGAACAGCGTGTGTGTGTGATTGTGCCATCGGTGCTCAGTGCCGACTGCAGTGTTTGCGTTAAAACCAGAAGAACCGGTTTATTCTTGTATCATAGGATTCAAACTCATAATGGCTAATCGGCGAAGCTGCGCGTTTCTCTGATGCGGATCAGTTCATCTCACGTCTCTCAGCATGTCGGAGGAATGCAGGTATCTGCCACGAGCCATTAACAACCTGCTGCCACGAGTCCAAAGGTGCCACGCACCATTTGCATCATCACCTGAAATCACATCGTCCTGAGAGGCTGGTTAAAGTTACCCCCCCTCCACGATTGTGTTGTGTGTCGGGGAGTTGTTGTGTTAAACATGGAGGTCTCCAGAGGGAACATCCCCATGTGTGGACTGCGCTGCTCCCTCCGCGGTTATTTACCTCCACCGATGTGTACAAACAACTGCTGCGCTGTTGTGCGTCGCCTCGATTGCAGGTCGGCGGCCTCTTTGCGTGCAGTTTCTTTTTCTTCATAAAGAGAACTAAAGTCGCAGGGAAGGCGTCAGCTGCGCAGGCTGGGCTCAAACCTCAGCCGGGCTCAACCAACAAGAGGTGACAGATCACAGCCTGGTTCCCAGGATTGTTCCGACCCCCAACCCCCCATTTCATTCCTTTTTAACAAGAAGCATTAATGGATATTGATGAGATCCGGATTTATTTTGTGACTGGTAATCCCGGGACCCCTGAGGGGACTCTCCAGATGGCCAAGGAATTCATTCTGATAATGCAGTGTGTTTCTACTATATATATATATATATATATGGAGTAAATGTGCCCCATATGAAAGGAATTATATGCTATTTGGTCAATATATATAAACCCTCTTTAAAGGCGCTCTTTAACTGTCACAGCTCCGGAAGTAGTTTATAAAAGGTCAATCCCACCGAAGAGGACGGTTTCCTCTCTCCGAGAGGGAGACACAGATGCATGTGTCTCATTAATACTTACACACACCTTCAGCTTCGTCTCCGTAGTAGCCGTGAAACAACTGGACACACTCCTTCTTCTTTCTGTTCCGCAGGGTTTCTGTTGTTTTACAGATGGTCAGTGTTTGTCACGTCGTGTTATCATAACGTGGAGCCTTGTATGGTGCTGTCAGGGACTGATTTATGTTCCTTGGCCCCATGTGAGCCTCTCAGATCCTCACTTAACATTTGCTCAGCAGGCCTTTAATGTTTCCTGTTGTGAGATGAAAGCCACACTACGTAACGTCTCACTGTAAGTCCAGCTCTGCTTACATTGGTCTGGCTCGCGCTGGGAGACACAAGTCAATTGCTCCCACCAAAAAAAACACCTCAAACGCAGATGCGATAGGTTGAGAGATTGCATTATGGAGTGTTGAATGTGGAGATGTTTGATTGCATAAATCATCCACTGATTCGTGTGCCTCTGTTAGTAGCAGTGAGGCCCATTCAGTGGAAAATACAACATCACATATGATGATAAGGTCATTACCACTGTCTGCGTTCCCTCTCTTCTGTGTGCCTGTGAGTTTGCATGGACGGACTGTAGTCTGATATGGTTCCCCTGTTGTCTTTAACCCTTATGGACAACACCATTTGATTCCTAAGTGTTGACATCTGTTAAGTCCATTAGAATGAAGCCTCTGAGCATAATGCACTGTGCATGCTTTAAAAGAGGATTTGGGTTGGGTCATTGCCCGTGTGCATTGCATTGATTCTGGACTTTGTGCTGTTAAAGTCACATTGTGGTCACGCACAGGACAGGGAGTGTTTGATTTGCAAAGACAATAAAGCACAATTCCCTTCTGAGGAAGACAAAGAATAAACAAAGCTGAGAATGCCATCACGGAATCATCGGAATGACTTGTGTGGAGACGAGTTGTGTAGCTTGGGGATGTTTTTTTCTAATGTTTTGTGGTTGATTTTTCTTCTTATCACACTTGATTGACGTATTAATTAATCGGCTCCATCTTCCAGTGAGTATAAAACACATAAAACTGGTTGATAAGTGCCAGTTCCTCTCAGCCCATATTCCCAACTGACCCTGGCGGTCTTCCCGCCCATCCGTCCACTGACTCCCTCCTCTCCTCCATCAGAACCAGGCATGGCTGGAAAGCCATTCCGGGCCACCTTCATCTGGAGCAGCATCATCTCCAACCTGCAGACCCGCGTGGAGGTCAAGCGCCGGCGCCACAACCTCAAGCCCTACCACGACTGCTTCCTGGGCTCGGAGGCGGTGGACGTGGTGCTCACGCACATCACCATGAACCGTTTCTTTGGCGACGAGGCGGTGCCCCGCATCAAGGCCGTCCGTCTCTGTCAGGCCCTGATGGACTCCAGGGTGTTCGAGCCCGTCGGCGTCAAAGTGTTTTACAAGGAAAAGAAGCCCGCCACCTTCGAGGACAGTAGTTGCAGCCTGTACAGGTTCCTGAGCACGACCGCCGGCTCTTCATCGTCGCTGGCCAACGGCAACTCCTCTAGCACCATCGAGAGCGGCCTGGACGCGCCGAACAGGAACAAGAACGACTTCAGTTCGTCACATGAAAGGTACCCGTACACGGACCCGTGTCATAACATCTTCCCGACCTCGTGTTTGATTTGCTTTGTTCTCCTTCCACCAGATTTAATCCCAGATCCAGTGTAGCTTTCTCTGAAAACTAGTCAAGCATGAGTGGAGGCTCTTGAAGTCCCATAGTGCAGTTCTGTCCACTGCAACGAGTCTTACCTTCCAATACAATCTCAAGTTGCTATTCGTAAATATTAAATTATTCTTAATAAATGTCCTTTCCTGTTAAATCTAAGTCTCTGAAGGTCGACTGGCAAACTCGTTACTGACATTACTCCTGGAAATGACGTAACGTGTCCTTTTCACACTTTCATTTTCTACACTTTTTTTTAAAAGCCATATCAAATGAATTCGTGAGCTTTGTACTTCAGACCGGACCAGAGATCAGACTTACTGAATTAAGGATAAAACATATCAGTGGAGCCACGTGCTTAGACAGTTTCAGTTGAACACTTTTTTATTTGCAACATGATATAAGTAGAAATTCCCTGGGAATAACATAACGAAAAGAGAATTTATTTTAGAATATTGAGCATTTATTTTTCCAGGTTGGCCCGGGAATCAAAAGAACACAAATTGTGACTGAATCACAGCTGCTAGAAAGCGATGGGATGATTACGCCAGTAATTACTAAATCATTTCCACTAACTGTTGTCATTACCTGCCTCTTCAGACAAGGCGTGCTGAGCTACTCCAACCATTCCCCTGTGAAAACAGACAAATCCCTGGAGGACGTGCTAGGAAACCTCAACCTGAGCTCCTCCATCACCCCTCAAATGATCAACCTTGGCCTCTCCCAAGAGCGTAGGTCGCCCTCTTCCTGCAGCAGAAGCTTAGTCACACATGTTAGTCTGTGCTACATTATTACACATACTATAATTCCCTGACTAGGGGTGCACTTCTGGCTTAAATCCCTAACAGTGCACATGTGACCCTCACGGCTTTTTAACTCTGTTTTCACAGTTGTGGATGAGGTGTGGCACCAGCAGGCTGTGTTCAGACTGTTGCAGCTCATAGAGCTCCCCCTGTTGGAGAAGCTGTTAGAGGGTAGAGACGCGTCGCGGCCCCCCCTTCATGGCATGGACAGTGACCCGGACCTGTTGTATACATCGAGCTACTTAGACCGGGAGGTCCTCAAGGCCTTCAGTGAAGCACAGTAAGTCCTCTGAAACAGCTGAGCAGCTGACACACAGACCCACTGCCTGTACAACCCGTAGTAAGATATACAACAACTCTGTGTTATAGTGGTGTCATGCATGAACTTATGCTAAACCGTAAGGTTGTTGTATGCTGCACATAGTTTCTGTGTGTCTGTGTGTGTTGTCTACTGAACACTGCTATTGAAGTACCTAATACTTCATCACGTGCACCCAGAAGGAGAAACGGTTAATAGATTTTAATTGCAATACTGTATTTTGTTTATGGTACAATACAATAACTACATGTCAATTATTATTTGCTACTAATGACAGCGGGCCCTGATTAGCATTTTTGTTTTGGCAAAAAACCTATGTAAACGATAAACTATTACATAATGACCCAATGCAGGCTTACTGAAAGAGTACCGAAATCAAACCCAAAGGGCTTATCACCTTCTTTTTCCATCTCCCCGTTGCCTGACTTGACCGACCTGTCGGCTGCGGGTAAAATCACTCCTCCCTCCCCTCAGGGCTGACGAGTGGATGTCCGGAGCGGTGGACTGTCTGGAGTTTCTGCCTGACGAACGGGTTGTGGAGGTCAGCCGAGGTTTGGCAGGATGCGCCGACGACCTCCCCCGGTGTAAGAGTCTGCTCTACGACATCCTGGCACAGCACTACGGAAACACCCAACAGCCACCTCTGCTCGGCAATCACATCTTCGACATCCACACTGGCATCTCGGAGCTACTCGGTAAGAGCGCATCTCTTTGCTTTCAGGAGGGTTGATGGGGGCTTTGGTGGTGACGCTCAAAGCCAAAGTTTGCTCCCTGTGCCGTTTCGAGCGCAAGGGGCCGCTTTTGTCACGCTCGGCATTTTCATCCTGCTTTTTTTTCAGTGAACGGCAAGCAAGCGCAAGCTTTAGAGTCCCTGCAGCTGAGCCTAAAGCTGCAGGACTCTCGCAGCAGGGAGGAGCTACGCAGGCTGCTGAGATTCATGGCCGCTGCAGCCAAACCACAGGAGGTCAAGCTGCACAAAGAGGCGAGTTCCCATCCACCTCCTCTGTGAGTCTATACGCGCGTTTGTTTGGTTTTTTATTTTTTTATTTTTTTAACTCTAAACAATTCTCTTGTCAGATCGAGAACCGAATGGCGGTGAAACGGTCTTTCTCGAGCGCCATCGTCTACAGCAGACGACTCTCTAAAGGAAAGGTGGACCTGATGGTTCTGTTCATGATGGATAACCATGGCGATCTCTTCAAAGTGAGTGTTGTTGCTGTCTTGCTACCAGTGTGCGTACTTGTGTGCCCGCCGTTAATGGAGGTATAACAAGTGGCATCTCTGTGTCGACAAAATGCTGTTTTAGACTAAACGAAAGAAGGATTGTAAACCAGATATTACTTTGATCAGAATTCATAAATCAAATGTATATGATTGCGTAGGATCACAGACAGATATGAGGAAAGTAAATATAATCATTCTACGTGTTCTTTCCACCAGATACCGGTTTCATTGCACAAGATGGTCAGCGACAGAATAATGAATATTGTGAAAGGGAAGGATCCAGATGTGATAACAGGTTTGCACATTTCCATTTCTATGTTCCTCCTACACATTCACTTGTTCAGCAGCTCTTTGTTTGACCAAAGAACACTTTGCCTTGTTTCTCTGATCGCTCTCCACTGCAGGCTCAACGTACTGCTCCAGAGTGAGCTCCAAGGCATACTCAGAAAATGCAGAACAAACCACTAAAGAGGAACTTTGGTCTTTACTCCGGAGCGTCCATGAGAACCCAAAACTCTCAAACAAAGAGAAGAGACGGCTTCTGGGACAGTTTTATAGAGGCCACCCAGAGCTTTTTGTTCAATACTTTGGAAATAGGTTGTCCAGTATCAATGTGTTGCTAAAGTGATGCTCATCAGTGTGAAAATGCATGTATGATAATGTAAAGATTCGTAGATGTAAAAACAGATGTGCCGTGTAGAACGTGGATTATCTCTGCTTGTATGTAAATAGTTTTGACTACTGAAAACAAATGTGAATTTAACCGTGGATCGTTAGGTCTTTTCTGTGGTGCGGGACACTAACAAGAAATGTCTGCGTCTGTTGTAATGTGTATGAGACTGTTACTTTCCCAGCATGACGAAATGAACCAAGTATTCCTGGGAGGTTTTTTTTTTTTTTGGAATGTTTTCTCACTGCAACGTGTCTTAGTATGAATGTGCATTTATTTCATTGGATGTATTATTTGTGCTTGAGCAATGGAAACTTTGTCAGCATAAATGTGTCTGTTCGTGCGGTTTGTCGTGTACGATGCCACGCACACCAGAGCAATGTCTTGATGACTTGCTGTTAGTCAGAGGCATTCATGAGAATTTGTCCTCTGGGTTTTTCCCTTTGTTGCAACTTTTCACCAAAACAGATGTAATTTATGCTTTTTTTTTAACTTTAAAGTTTAAACATAGCCACGTTCTAGTGGTTCTGTTTCATATATGTTTAATATATTCCGTCTAATCAGCCAAGGAAATCCCTTTCAGATTTACAGGTGACAAAAGCATTAAGATTTAACCACTCACATCTTGTTCTTATTTTGGGCAAATCTTAATAAAACTTATCTGGAAATGTTAAACATTCATACATGTGCATTGTCCTCTTTTAATGTTGATAGACAAAATGTGTTTTATCTGAGGCATCATTAAGCGTCATGCAATCATATAAGACCAATAATGTTCCCTTTCAAAACAGTGTGAGTTCTTAGTCCTTTCTTACATGACCCACATATTGCACGTGACAATTATAAAATCTAAAGCTATTTCATATCATTGAGCCTCCAATTTTGTCCATTTGTTTTATTTAAATACCACTTTTTGGTAGCAATCAAAAAAGTAGGTTGGAAGAACTTTAACGTTGAGTTCTGTTTTAATAATAATAATAATGTCATTATTTATATCAAAATCACAGGCGCTTGGTTGTCAACAAGTTTAAGAAGCTCAGCCATTCAAAGAAGAAAAGTGGTTTCTTTTCCAAGAACTTTCTTTTGAAATTAGTTTTTTTTGGTGGTGGCGGATGTTATTTGTGCCTTTGATGGTTGAAAGCAAAATGACGAAACCCTTAGAAAGGGCCAAAAAAAGCAATTACTTTGATAGTAACTCCGGGTCGGTGGTCACCACTGTAAGAGTTTTGAACAGTACTTTAGAAGCTATTAAATAGAAAGACTCAAAGTAAAGACATTATTAGACATATAGGGTGCTTTAGTTTCAAAGAGCATTTGAGCCATTTTCCAAATGGTGCAGATTTCAAAGAAGCCTTCAGCCTTAATTGTGTGGCCGTGTAGCTGTGCTGCGCAGACCAATAATGATGTAATCATGCCAATGTGAAAGTAAGCAGCTGGCTTGCATTGAAACGTGTTCAATGTGCAAGTCACTACTACGGAACTGTCGAGATAATGGCAGCTAATATTGATATTAGTTCAAGCTGAAAGAACACTGAATGACCCCAAATAAAGAGTCCGGATGTTCAAAAGCGATCTAGCGCTTATGTAGAACAGATAAATAGAACCACATTAACCTCGTGATAATAATGAGGTCGCTCACGTAGTTAAGAGAGTCTTCAATAAAAAGTCTTGATAAAAGACCGCTACAGAGAAAGACAGCAATGAAGTCAAATAAAAAAGCAATTCTGGTTGAACTTTTTTTCCATTTTTATTGAAAGGAATTGTTTACTCCAGTTATCTAAAAAAGAAAAAAAGCTTGATTCCACTTTGCCATCAACTGAACATCACAAGGCCAAAATAAGCTGTGTGCGAAAGTCAACCGTTTAATTAAAAATTTTGTACAATATAATGGTCAGTCTTTAAAAATAAAAACTGTTCAACAAAAAGAAGCCACAAAAACACCCCGGTGAACATACTGTATGCATGTCTCAGGGAGTGTGTGTGTGCATGTATGCTTGTCTTCTGTACAGAGATAAACGGATGTATAATCTGTCAGACACACTCGGAAATGTGGACATGAACCCCCCCCCCCCCCGTCCCCATCTGAACCCCTTATGATTACATTCTTGACAGGTGAAGTGTGTGTTTTGGTTGGTTTATCGGATCCTTTTCTGTTGGCGCGAGCGGTAGATGTCGTGAATGGGTGGAGCCACGGCTCCTTTGTCGTCCTCTTCGTCGGAATCTGCATTTGGCCTCTTTAGTGACTTGGCAACAGCGTGGTTCTCCATGGGTCCATTGCCCTCCCCTCCTGTATCGGGCTGTCGGCCAGTGATAAGCTCTACAGCAGCATCAACAGCTGTGGAGGGTGGAAAAACATTGGTTTTAAACAAGGGAGCGAACAGCATGCTGACCCACTCAAACACGTTTTACAGCTGACGTATTTCCCTCTGCATCAAAGTGTTGCTTCCCTGGATGAGGCAGAGTCAAGCTTCTAGAGTGGCTGCAGAAAAGAAACGGTCTGCATTCAACCAAAGAGGCAACTTACTCTCAGGAAGTGTGCATCTCCTGAAAGTTTCCATGAGCTCGTCCACTTGAACAAAGGGTCCCTGCATTGAGAAACAAACACAAACGTATTGCATCCTTGTGGAAAACAAACCCCGCTCATATGAGATTTATAGCACAAGGCTGCTGCTGCTCACAGTGAAGCACGTAGGCGGAGGGAGCAGCTTCATTAGGACCACAGCAGCTGGGGGCACTGGGAAAACGCCACCAGGGACAGGGTGTAAACCTGGAGCTGTGGAGAGGAAGACAGGTTTTATGCAACAGCCAGTGGAAGAGAGAGAGAGAGAGAGAGGAGAAGGTTCTACGTACGGGCCATGTGACGGGGCTGGAAGGGGATCATCTGGTTGGTGTCAGGTTTGGGGTACTCGGGTTTGCGGTCTGCTTCGTCCTTTTGTGCCGGCGCCGAGGGCGTCACCACGGTCTCTGGGAGCAGCGCTGCCAGTTTGGCACGAGACACGTCCTACAAGGGCAACCGTGGCGGAAACACCGTGAACATCCTTTGAGAGAACAAGGCCGGGGGCTGCACGCCGTGTTGTGACATCCCCTAATAAAAGAAAAATACTAAATGCGCACCTTGTATCCAAGGGCCTTGAGTTCACTGGCGGAGCAGGGATACAGGTCCATGAACTTGTATCGGTCTACGAGCAGGGCCGTTTCCTTGCCCTCGTACTCGTCCTTGAAGGCCGTGAATCGCCTGCGCTCCACTTTCAGGATACTGGCCAGGTCTCCTATGTTGCTCTCAAAAGCCAGGAACCGAGCCCAGATCTCGCTGAAGGGTGAGAGAAGAACAAAAATAAGCAAAGTGTTTGTTACGCAGGTCACATAAAAACACACACGACTTCATGAGAACGTAACATTACCCGGACTTTTCTGGCGACAAGCTTCCCGAGGTGAGGACACGCTCAAACAGAACCCTGGTGTTGTTATCCTCTGGAGGAAGACAGAGGCAACAGGGTTACACGTTTATCTTCCACTGCCGCGACAATGATGATGGAGGCACATTTTATTTCACCCACAGCTAAAACCGGGACATTGGTGTTACTACAGTAACAGATTGTTATTACACGTCACCTACCATTAAGATGGGAGAGGTAATCAATATATGCCAGTATGTACTCTGGGATGTCACCGTACTTCTTCAGACCAAGCTCAAAGATCTTGAAGGCCACAGATTTATCCTGCGGGGGAAAGATGAAAATAGTTTACAAAAAAAAAAAAAACATGTCAAAAATGAATCTGCCTAACAATAAAACGATGATTGTGCGTCTTCACCTTGCTGCAGTAGTATTCCATCAGTGCTGCCGTCACATACACATGGTGGCGCGTGCGTAGATCCTCACGGGCCTTTTTGAAGATGATGCGACCCGACTTGATGCCTTCTGCCCTCCTGGCGAACTTCATGTACTGAATGTAGACTAGCGTGGGGTCGATGTCCTCGATCCCCAGCAGCTTGTTGTAGATGCTGTGGACCTTCTCGTACTTCATGCGACTCTGCGAGAGAAGCCAAAGACATTTGCCCATAAATACCCGCGAACCGTGGCGTCGAAATATCATTTGTGCTGCGCAAAAACCACTCACTTCTTCATAGTCTGCGAATGAAAAGTACAGCAGCATGTTCTTCTTCAGAAGAGTCCCGATGGCGCGTTCGTAGATGTTAGCTGCCTCGTCACTAAACAGCTTGGAATTGTTCATGTCCTGGACGGGAAAGCACGCAAACAAAGATACGTCTCATTTTGAGCTGAGGTTAGAAATACCGATGTTTGTCCAAAGGGGATTTCTCTCGCTCACCCCTTTCTCTGCCAGCAGCTTGCTGGACTGCTCCAGGTACTGTGCTGCCTCATACCAAACGTCCGGATGGTGGCCCAGCACCAGCAGGCACTGCTCGTAGGCAAACATCACTGCAACACACGGCGCAGCAGCCATTTACTACCGTTCAGAAAATGACAGGAGGAATTGATCTGAACTACAGGCGAGCAGAGAAACTAGGCCCTCTGGTGGCTCTATACCTGTGTAGGATCGGCACAGTGTCATATCAATGGAACTCATGGAATAACAGGCGTTATACAACAAGAGGAACATGAATAGCTACGGCACCAGTAGTCACCTCTCTTAGTGATGAGGGTCTGGTCTTCTGTGCGCAGCGGGTTGCTTTTCTCCCACTGGATGTACTTCTTCCACATTTCCACTTGCTGGGCTTCCTGAGGGGAGTTCTGCGGCGGTACAGAGGGCGCATTCCTGTCCAGTCCCTTCATCACCGTCTCGTACTCCTGAATGGCACAAACCGACGCAAAACCATCTGCGTACATTTCTGAAGACGGAGCAAAGATGGAAAAAGGGGGTCCGCGTACGTTTGCCACGGTCTCACCTTGGCCACTCTCCTGGCATTCATGTAGTCCCTACTTCGGTCCTCGATCATCTTTTTGGCCAGGTGAACATTGATTCCCTGTTGGTGAAAGAGACGGGTCGGTCCAGCCCTCGCACGCTTTAACCGCCTCACCCGTGGAAACCGTTTACAAGAGGCCTGGCCGGCTCACTCACCTCCTCGTATTTGCTATAATCTCTCCAGAGCTGCTCGATGTTGATCATCGGGTTGACGCAGCCTCTCTGGTAGACCCTCCGCACCGCAGTGATGCGTTGGTTCTCTGCGTATGAGCCCACAGCTTCACTGATGGACCGCACAGCAGCACAAAGTCAAAGTTAAGAGTTGGCTAACAAAGTTGATGAAAGTCGCTACAGAATATATTGGAGGAAAAGCGCTTACACTCCTTTGAGGAAGTTGATGTAGTCCACCCAAATCTAAAAGAGAGGGAGTGGGGGACACTGTTAGGCAACAGTAGTATAAGTAGAGACACATACAGACACAGGGACAAGAAAATAGCTTAGATCTGTGTACCTGATAAGACATAATTTCCATGCCAATTTTATCGAGGGCAAAGTCATATGCCTGTGCCATCTTCTCTCTGAGGGTACAAAACGTGTTCATTTATTTGAGTATTTTCAGGGCACAGCAGTATGCCGGAAAACTGATTCCACAATGCAGCAAAGTCTCTTACTTGTAGCTGGGCAGCTTTCCTTTGGTCTCCCGAACATATGAGAGGTAACATTTCCACAGGTCAATGTGCAACACCTTCATCAGGCATCTCTGAAACAACTAAAGGGGCAAAGATAGAAGAGGAAGTGACAGGAATAGAGACACACTATTGCATATAGTTCCGTATTTGGGGGTGGGGGGACAGTTGTGTGGTGCACTTCAGCTTCATTAGACAGGCCTCAGACGTGCCCTACATTACAAGAGAGTTCCTTCAAAGTCAAATAGAGCAGCTTGAAGCTGCTTTGAGGGAAGTGCAGGACTCATATAATGTACTTTTGTCTTTGTGAAGTGCAGACAACAAATGAGTAGCAAACCAATGCAGAGGTAGGTTTTTTGTTTTTTAAATAAATAAAAATCATGGAAATCGGTTCTGCGAAGAGAAAGCAATGATTATTATTTTTAACCTATTAATAGATACAGTGATGGTAGTTTTAACTAGTAGTCACAAATTAATTTCTATGGTTACAAGCCAATATATAAGGAAAATCTTCTCACACTTAAAAAAGCACTTTTTTCCATCATTACTTTTCAGTAGGTTTTTGCACCTCATAAAAGTGATTTTAATTGATACTATTATAGTGTGAGTCAATGCAGTTGTGGAAATCACCAAAACGTTTATTTACCGAGTAGACTAATTAGAAACACTCTTATGACCTTTCCCGATAATATGAAACACACACTGATGTGTGATGGACACTTACCTTTTCTACCTTGTCATAGTTTTTAGCCTTGATCTGCAAATCAGAGTGTAAATGCAATGTTAATTCCAAATTATCCTCTACTTATGGCTCACGGTAAACATGCATTCATGCAATTGTGATCATTCAGAGACACACACAGACACACAAAGGACCTTTGAGATCAACAAAGTGAAATTCACACAATGAGAAACTTTAAAAGGGGTTTATTTTCTTTGCAGATTTCCCCACATGGAGGTTACAGTGCAGGCTAAGTTGCAGTTCGATTGCAGCTTAGCTCCCCTCATTCCCACTATACACACACACACACACACCTTTTTTTATGACCACATGTAAGAAAAAAAAACCTGAGATAGTTTGAATCTCAATATTGCTGCTATATTTTGCATTAGTATTTGATATTTCAAAACTATTCACAGCTTTAGGTGTGCACGTTTCCTTGGTGGGCATCGTTTCACCAACTGTCCAAAAGTCCTGAGGTGTTAGCGCACCATACTTTAATGTCTACAAAGTCAAAAAGATGAATTGAACCAGCCTGGAAAGGACACAAAATGATAATTGTGTGGTAGGAAAATATCAACAAGGCACCAAGAAAGTACAGTGGTGGTGTTACAGAATCCCTCTGTACTCACACAATATTAAAAGAGTGACCTGCAGAAACAAAATGAAACATCCATTTATCTTGTGGCCTCGTGGTTGAGTATCGTCTATTGATTACATGTGTCCAAAAATACTCAAAAACATTTATGGATCTGTATCCACATTGGAAATTTTAAAAATACAGTCCATGAGGAAATGCAACATTCAACTGAAGATGGTGTTATTTTTTTTTGTAATTATGCAACTAATAATCAAAGCAATGCAAAATGCTAAAGTGTTGAATGCATACGGCCAACTTAATTTATCATTAAACACAGGGGGAAAGCGTTTCCCTTTGGCATATTCAGTACATAAAATCCATATTAAATAGGATTTTACAGAAGAGTTCTGCCAAGGACAGACTTTTGTTCAAATATGCAGCAAACGCCAACTGCAGCGTACAATGCCTTCAGGGTAATTCCCCCAAAACAGACTGACCTAAATCTCTCATCCCAGGCACTGCAAATCTGACCCATTTTGCTACAATCTTCATTAAAAAACAGACAACGCAAATGTAAATCTCTAAAAGAAAAAGACAACAGGTTTGGTATTTAGAACATGCATCTACTTGGTTTATTTTTACCCAATAAATTTATTTCACCTGTAAAATATCCGGTAACGCCTCAGATTAGAAACACCAGCCCAGAGCATTACCTAATGCAAGGTTAAAGCTATTTAATAGTCAGATGTGGCCTTCCAGAATTTAGTTATTTTTGAGCTCTGCAACCACTTCTGCCAATCCTAGCTGTGTATCTGTGTGCTGGCCTGAAATAGATCTGCCACATAGTGTGCAGGACTTAAGACTGCAATAACTGAATAACATGCAGGGGAATGGCTACAGATCTTTGTAGAACCTCCTCCTGCAGGGAAACTACAACGAAACCAGTGGCTGCTTTCTGGGCGAGTCTTAAGTACCTGGTTACATCATACATCCAGAAAACATAAACTCTACCACACACACTAGACCACAAAAAACAGGGCTTTTGCTACCTTCTAAATTGCAATTAAGTGAAATTGTGGCCCAACTCGCCATTTAGGAGCTACAGAAACTCAACAGCCATCAGAGAATTCATGCAGCACAATGCTGCAAACAAGCAATTACGACAACTTTTTATAAAATGAAAAATAGGAATGAACATCTACGTTAGGCAGGTTTGTGTTTACGACTGATTCTTCCCTTAAGCTACAGCTTTGAACTGTTATAGTGCCCACGTCACTATAAATAGACCACAATGACATACCAAGTGTATCACTATTACTGACAAGTTCTATGTAGCATTTCAAGGGAACCAGAACCTCACACCAGAAAGGAGACATGCCTGTAAAAGGAGTAAGAACTCTACAGGAACGGGCTGGCTGAGGCTTTGAGGTCATCCACGATAAAAGATGTAGTTCTAACCTACAGGTAGCTCTAATGGGGAGGACAGGGGAGGCATTCCACATACTTACCAAATGGGAGGGGGGGTCTAAACTAATTAAATGCAAATGTGCCACGACAGTACAGGGAGGGAGGGGAGGTTGTGTTTTGGCTTAATAGTATATTCATGAAAAGAGGTAAAGCAGAAAAGACAAGTACATTTAATTTTTTTTATTGTATTTAAAGGGAATGGGATATTTGTAGTGTTATAGAGTCTACATACAGAATCTACAGACCTAACTTCAAGTAAACTGACCCAGTGACTTAAGAGCCAAATCTTTATATATCCAGAATTTGCTTTTTTTTAAAAATATAAATGGACAGGATTCTATAACGTGACATCAACAACCAGGTGCTAATATCTGTGTAATACAGATAAACACTCCTGATACTTCAGATAACTACCTCCCTGCCAACTATCAGTTGAGAGATGTACCTGTAAAGGGTTTTCAGAAGAATAATTTATACCGAAGGATACTGCATAAATTACTGCATGGTTTCAAAGTATTAAATATCCAACTTCTAAATGAGGTGAACTTCCACGTCAAGAAATGGATTAAAAAAAAAATTAAATCAGGGTTCCTGCATATTCTTTAAAATCCGCAAATGAAACTCCCTCAGCTGTACGAACTGCTTTGCTTCTGTAGGGGAACCTACGCTTGAGGCGTGGGGCGGGACGCTGAGGCTTTAACTGGCACAAAGTGGATTTCGTGTCATCTGCGAGCTGGACTCATCAGCAAAAAGACTTCCTGAAAAGCCTCGTCCATTGGGAGAAAAGCAGCAACGTGCTCCGTCATTCCAGTTCACCACTCGTATGTCTGTTTTGTTAAAAGCAGAGTGATCCTGGTGGATAGAAGGGGCAGCTTCTTCTAGGGGAGCAACCCCACAACAACCAACCACAACTTCTACAACCTCGACACACGGCCACACTTGACTCACAACAAAGGAGCTAATCATTATCCCGCACCACACACTGGACTTTAAACTAGAGGCGGAACCCTGACGCCAACTAATGCTGTGAATCGTTGTGCAAACAATGTGTTGAACACCAGTTGCAGTTATCAACTGCAGAGGTGGGTGGCATTCGCAAACGCACTTCCCCATGTTAGCAAAAGTTATTATGGGCATGGGAACATTAATCATCCCGTCAGTGGCTCATAACCGCAAAGCCTGTGGATTGCATCACGGCAAGTGGGTCACTGGTGGCGGAGTCAGGAGTGGGGAGACATGTCTCATGAAAAGAATGGGCCACACAATCGAAATATTGGTTTATAATATTACCCGAAAGAAATGACACAGGAGGCAATAAATTGACACGACAAGTGAATAAAAGGCTAATGCACTCCAATACCATTAAAATAGTTTTAATATTGTTGCAGACCAAACATGCAACAAATGCACTTTACCCCATTTAAATATGATGCGGAGAATGTGTATTTTTTTTAAATCCTATGAACAATTTGCTGGAAAAGAAATGGTTAGAGCTAAATTACCTCTTTACTTGAGTTCAAAGGCACAATTCCTAATGAGTATAATTTAGGGCCAGTTCATAACATTTCATATTGTAAGATATTGACTGTCAATAAACTTTGACAGCTGCGACCAAAAGAAGATAGACAGGCCTCGAGACTCCAAACAAGAATTGTGACTTTAAGCTCAACAGAAGAACGGGACATTTTGTGTGAAAATCACATTGTTGATCATGTTAGAAATCCCCAGCCATGCACACTGAAGAAAAGGAAAAGAATATTAACCTCGGCTTCAATGAAAAGTTTCCAGAATCTGCCAGAACTTGGGAACTGCGTGACAAGGCGCTCATATGTCTTCCTTGCTTTATCTATGGGTTGGTTCTAAAGAAGGAGAACGCATTAACATTCCACACTATGAAAAGCAGTCACATGGGAGAGAAAAAATAAATAGGTGATGTACTTTTAACAATCTACTACCCCACAACCCCACCCGTATTCCCCGTTGGTTCACCCCCAGGAATTACAACTCTGTGTCACTAAACCTGTGCTTCTCGAATCAGAATGCTCCATGCGTCAAGGTCATATGGGTTTTCTTCCAACTTCTTCTCTGCCTTCTTCACCTTCTCCGGAATATATTCTGCTGCTGCCTGCGAGACAACACAAGGCACAGGAAAACACGGTCATGCTGCTGCACAGACTGCCAATGCACTTTAACGCTGGTAGTGTAGTGAGACTCCAGGTGTGTGTGTGTGTGTGTGTGTGTGTGGGGGGATAAATTGTCTTTATCAGAGATACGGTTAGTTGTTGAAAACCAGGGCGCTGCATTATTGGCCCCGCCCATGCGGCGTGTGCAATGAATCAAGACCTCGCGGTTACTTCGGAGGGAACTTGGGTCCAAGGAAAGCAGCTAACTAGCAAATGATGTGAACGGTGATGTGAACGGTGAAGTGCTGAGGAGCAAACGCAGCACAGGGAAAAACGTTTAATGACCACAACGGCTAACGTGGAGGGGACTGCAACCGAACCTTTACTCATGGTGCAATGTGGCGTTTAGCGAACATTAGGAGAACTAGCGCGCTATCGTCAGACAATAAGTAGCGACACGGCTACAAGCGGGCGGCCAACATGGCGTGCTAAAAGCTGGGATTTTAGCATAACACGTTGCCGCCATTGTGTAATATTAGCCAATATCGACGTGACGTAAACACGTAACATGATGCGTAGGGGCGAGCCGTTTATATGCGACCGTTGCCGATGAAGAACATACAAGGTAAATTACATTCTAGCGGGGTTAGCTTTCCCCTCATATGAACTGCAAGTAACGGTAGCTAGGTTACCTGGTCGGCTGCTCCCTCGGTGGTCATGGTTGGAGTAATCTACGTAAGAAATGCTGGACCGGTTGGAATAACGTTAAAATAATAACGTGACGGCAACCTTAAAAACGACTAAACGATCGGCATAACTTCGAGGTGTCGGTCACATTGCCTTCAAGCAACTAGCTGCTGGACTGCTGGCCGATATCTCAAAATGGCGTGTTCCGCTGTGGTATCTGCGGGAGCAGCAACAGCAATAGTACTTCCGGCGGGAATCCTTCAACAAAGTAAAACTCCAAGGTCCACAATATGTGACCGGACCAAAACACATTCAACATGTGTGACTGCGCATATTAAATAGTGCAATCTAATTCAACAGTGCGGCACACTTTTTTTATGGGAGTCGGAATATGGGAACTATTATACTATATATATTTAAGCCTATTGAGAATCAACACTTCCCATTATGAATCATTATGATTGCCGTAAATGATGATTGTATTATTATTATTATGCATATTTCATTGACTCCGACGAATATATATTGTGTCTTATGCTAATTTTACTGTTAGTCAACTCTGAAAAGCTAAAGATTGAACATCATCGATAAGCACTTCTGCTAGCGGTTTTAGTATGTGAAGCACGTGTATTCAAGTGACTCATGAAACTGGAAACCAAGTTCCTCATTTGGGCCGATAGGCGGCTTCTGTAAGTGTCCATTAAACCATAAGGACCTTTTATATTTCATTTTGTATTACTGTATGATTATTGTATGTTCTTACTGTCAACCTCAAACCACTTTATTTACAAGGTTATAAATAATTTAGTATTGGCAAAGTGATGTCAACATTAATACAATACAGTCTTCTTCTGCACAACATAATACTTGTAACCTTTCTAACCAGCAGGGGGTGACACGTGATCAACACTTCAACGAGAAGTGTGTATCAGGCCAATGATTTAAAACAGGCCAGAGCAAAAGATCGTAGAGCATTTACCGGATCAAAAGTAAACAAGTGTTTTCCTTCTAAACAACTAAACTAGTATTGTGTATAATTTCTCGTACAGCTGTATTGCTGTGATTGTGTCTTTTTCTTTATATATATATAATGAATGTGTTTTTACAAACGTCTTTGAACAGGTTTGGTGGACACATTTGTATTAAAAACTAAAAAAAGACTGACACAGAGCTGACAAGATCATTGGATGATGCAGCATTGTTGGAGCAGATTTTTGCTGTTAATGGGGACTCCATTGATGCCCAAAGCACTAGTGCATCCACCATAAACTAAAAGGACATAGTGGGTGTAATCCAGCCTTTCCCTGAGCTACTTATCTTCTACCATTACCCAGCTGTGTTTACTGATGATGCACCAGGTTAAACAAGAGGTTTTCCCACTCCCTCTTCAGCTGACCGGGACTGGGGGGTTGTTTGTATTTGGTTGGGGCCCGGGAAAAACAATTTTATTGCATTTTAGTGGATTAGATCACAGCTATTCTTCTTAGACATAGGGGGTTTATGGGCAGCTTTGTGTGTCAGCTGGGTGCCTCCTCACTGTCTGAGCAGCAGATTTCAGCTGGTGCTCCACCGTCAATTTCCTAGTACTCTGATGCTAACACGTTACTAAATAAGGTTGTAAAATATGTATTTGTCTTTATCATCATTGGGTTCTTCCATTGCATTTTAAAGGATCCAATGTTTAGCACACCTTATATATTACCCAATCGTTTCACTCTTCTCATATTAAACATGGCTTATGCATTTTTAAATAATATGCTGTGTATAGCTTAACCAATCAGTTATCAACACCACAGTTATGTATAAGTTTGTAAAATAAATGATTTAATTTCCCATTCAGTTGACCCCGTTGTTGTTCAATGCTAATGCATTATTCTTGATATTGCCTGCTTTTAATATTCTAATCCAGAACTTTGGGGTTTTGTTTATTTAGGAGGCTATATAGAGGATATGTTTGTCTGTAATTGTTGTTTGTTCCAAGCAGCCTGCCAAGTATAAACTAAACAAAGGAAATAAATCCCCAGACTTATAAACTTTAATATGTTTTATTTACAAGTCGAACGCCATTATTTCGTTCATCATTTTAAACGTTCACATTCTTTAGTTGAAAATAAATCGGATCCAAATCGCAAACGTTTGTGAATGTATTCGCTCGATTGCTCTGGTCTGGCCAATGCCGTCAGTTCACAAACATTCGCGTGAACTCGGAGCTGGAGAAAAAAAAAGACACGAGAGAAGCAGTCAGGCCCGCGGAGCAGCACGTCCAGACGGGGCAACGGAGCCTCTTTCGGAGATGGGCTACTTCGCCCAAAGAGGAAGGAGACACATTTGAACTGTGTAGCTACAGCCTGGATTCGGCGTGGTGTTTCTGGCCGCTCATATGCAAGAGTTATTTGTTGTTTAAAATGTGGGAGATGGTGGCGTTACCGAGAGGGAGCTCTCCCTTCCTGTCGTCTAGGACAAGATGGCAGCAATGCAGGCGGACTGTGCATGGTATGGATCTATAAGTCCATAACATGTCCAGAGAAGCCCGGGATTATACTTATAGTGACTCTGTGTGAAGGTGAGTGGTGTTGAAAAGGCAGTTAATGCGGATATTTCTTTATCTTAACAGACGATAGTTTGAACGTGACGTAATGCACGTAATACGAAGTCATAACTTGGCTACGAACTTGGCTCGTGAGCCTTTTGCTGTTTACTGTTTCATACCCTTCGACGTTCTCCGCTTGAGCGCAGCTGCCTTTGTCAGCACTTTCTCTAACAGACACACCAGTGGTGCGTTTATTTGACGTATTATCCTGCCAGACGGCGGCAGCGATGACGCTATTAAGAACGCGAGTGCGGTTTGTCCCTGTTGTGTTTATTTCAGTGTTGTCACGGCGACCCGTTTATTTTTTTATTTTTTTATTTAACTGCGTTAGCTCTATTAAAGCATGCTATGCTTAACTAACATGACTTCACTTTCAGTAGTTCGGTTCTGCGAACCTTAACGAACCGTATTTGGTCACACCGGACCGAGTGACCACGGCCAACTCGTGAGTGTTGCGTTAACGGTCACCTGGTTCTCCGTTTAACGGCAGCTTTCTGTTGACCCAGCAAAGCGTTGCAGGATCGTGTTAATGCTTAACCATGACGAGAACGGGCGAAAACTCAATAGACCTTTTACACCGTCTGAATAACACATGCTGGATCATAGTGCCCACAATGCGTTTAGTACTTTCAACTGATACCCAACTAACGTTAACTTATAATAATACTGGAAGTGCAAGTTTTGCACGTACACGAGGTGTTCTAAACTACTATGGGAATGAATGTCCAGGTAATCACCCGTAACGAGGGTGTAGTCTGTAATCTACTCTGTCCTTTACCACAATGCAGGGGGTGGTTCTGTGTGTCCACTTCTGAGAGGGTGTGGACATATAAACTACCCCACCAGCTGCAGGACAGTGTCCTATAGAACTGTTTGCGGCACGAAACCATCACTTTTGAGTTGATCTGGTCCGGGGACACATGGTGAAAGTCTTACTGTGGCCTACAGCATTAGAAATAAAAGTTAATATACTTCCACGACTGCATGGCCGGCTTGTATTATAATAACTTGTTTTTTTCTTGAACTATGGAATAGTTCTATGGTTTGTATATTTAGGCAAGTTGGGCCTATGCAGCAGATGTCTGCTTTGTTTGGTCCAAATAGTGTAGGCTCCTCTCTTTTTTTTACTTTCTGTTACCTAATCAAGTTAACTTCTGTTTTGCTTGTATTTATTTTATATTCTATGAAACACTACTCCCATTGAAATAGTATCAATTTACATATCCGAGGAGAGTATATGTGACTAGAAATCAGCTGGTATTAGAGTTACTAAAAACATGAACGCTAGTGAAACTGTCATTAGTTACTTTTACTTTTTGAAACCACACGTAGAGTTTGTTTGATTCCCCTTTGCTTTAACACGTCTGCGGGTAGTGTCAGCATTTGTTAGCTTATTGTTATCAAGGTCTTAAAAGCAAAGCGAAGCTTGCGCGTGGTAATGATGCCAGAAGACGGTCCGCGCAATGTGGCCAGTAAATAAATGTGTAAACCGTGTTTTCTTGTAAAGTAATTGGTATGACTGGATAGTGTTGGTTGTTCAGAGGTAGGGTGTCAATAAGACTTTAAAACATGTTGTTATGTGACGTCATCCCTCAGTGATGAGTCTTTGTAGGGGAAGCTGGTTATCACTATTACATTGTGACCAATTTAATGACTGGTTTCCAAATGAGGTCATCTGTACATGTGCGTAAACGCAACAGAGTAATGGAAAGTTTATGGGGAGAGCCCTGTGACGAGAGGATGTCGTGTAAAAGTCACAAAAGTGATGAGTGGATGACGTCCAATATCCCAAGAAGTAAACATCCAGCACATGGAACATAATTACCTAAATGGTTCAAGCAATGTGGTCACAGCCCTGTTTTTGAGTAACATGGCAGATGGTTTTGTGGGGAAAAACGTGTCAGGGAAAAATATTTAGGTAAGATAGATCATTCTGCGACTGTTTTAGTGGAACCGTTGAGGCGCTCTATGAAAATTGGCGTTGTAGTATTTCAGCGTGTGCAACATGGTGAAATCTGTTTAATATACATTTGATACAGGTGACAGACAGGTGTCATTGAATGTAAAGTGCATCACATTTCCCAAAGTGAAACTCTATTTCTATATTTTGCACATCTGAAACGAGGGTGTACGATGTACTTTTGGCATAGACATCGTATCATCTCATATTTTCCTCACAGAAAGCAAGAATGACCTTTTAACTAGGGGGGTGCTGCCTCTTTCTTCTTTATCGGCGGCCATCTGGGCCTATCTCTTATTTCCAAACTCGTATAAAAAGGGGATGGTCACACGCTTTGCGTTTGATTTAAATATAGAGTGTGCCGTGATGGGCGTGATATCAGCACGATGAGTACAGATACAAATGGGTTCTCTTGTGTTAGTACGCAAACAGCATACACTATATTTTTAGTATAGCTGTCACCTGCAATGCAAATTGCGTGTTCATACAGGGAGAATACTTTGAAAAGAGTCATACGTTCACTGAGGAAACGGCATGTGGTCACATGCTTTACAATAAAGAGGGCCCTTTTATTCTAACAGGCATCACAGTTCATCTACACATGACTGGCCCTGTAAGTGAAGGCAGCAACCTCTGCTTAACAATTAAGTAAAAGCAACAGCCAGAAGCCCATTCTGCATTGGGTACTAATGTCTGAGCAGCAGCCGAGGAGACGGCGTTGGATTATTTCATAAACAACAACGATTGTATTGTATCAATCTCGAGTAGTGACATTGAGTTTGTTCTCTGTGTGGATTGCTGTTCCTTTGCGGTTATTAACATAATGGTGGATGTTGTGTTAACTGTAGATACACAAGATTAGTGCTGGTTGTCAACTAGAGAATAGAGAACCAAAATACCATGGCAATGAACTGATAACGAATTAGGTTGCTATGTCGTTTCCACAAATGGGCTTTTGGACTGACAAAACATCCCCAGACCGAGCCTAAAACTCTCGGGTTACTGTGACATCACGCATGACATCAAGTTAGCCAAAGATATAGGAACCACTGCAGAACAAAGGATGGATCCGCCTGTGTGAACGGGGCTGTAGTTTCGGATTGCACCCCCCGCCCCCACCCCCTCCACCCGCAACCTAGTTACACTATTAATATTCCTGTGTCTTAAGGCCCTTTTGTCAATCACTACCAATTGTGCACCGCAGACAGGTGTTTGTTGTTTATTTTCTTCTCAATTTAATTTGATAAGACCAGGGTCAGAAGTTCAACTTTGGGCAAATTACTTTGCAGCTCAAGGTTGCTGGAAAAGATCCTACAGGAGTATCTCTCTTCAGCTGGTAATTCTAGCAGCAGCTGCCATACTTTGGAAGGGACAAAGGCTGTCGACTTGACATCCTGGTGTCGGGCGTCTCCTGCCTATTTAGTGGTTGTATTTGCATTGCCAGGGAGAAGCGAAGGTTTTGTTCTATGGCTGACTTTTACCACACCAAGCAGGGAATTCACATCTGGACATCTGTGTAGCTGAGCGGATGGGAGCGGTAAAGGCCTCGACCGCCTGGGGACATTAGATGTGCCGTTTTTGAATTGACGTTGCCAAAGAGTAGTGTTAATGTGTTATTCCACATGTAACTCTATAGGTTCCATACATCACAAAAGTAACCGTGATTTTTCATATTCATTAACGCTTCCTTCTGTCAATAATCTCCATTGACATGGAAATGGTGTGTCACAGTGCTATGGGAACAGCCCTGGCGTGTAGATACATGTTTGCTTAACAGTGAAATGTTGAAAGGGAAAGGCGGTGTTATGTGGTTATGTTAATGCGGTGGTAAAGCAGTTTGCGTGCTCTCTCGCCCCGTCGGCGTGGGTTTTTATTTTTCCCCTAGCTTCTCCGGCTTCCCTCCCACTGTCAACACACACGCGGGTGGATGTGAATGCAAACCTGAATGGCTTTCTGTCTGTATGTGTCAGCGCTGTGATTGTGCGGCTGCCTGTGCAGGGTCCACCCCACCTTCACCCACTGTCAGCTGGGAGCGGGGCAGCGATCACAGATGATGGATGGGCAGTACGAGAAGAGATGGGCTCGTGTTTTAGTCCTGCCAATCGTCTTGGAAATTATCATAGCTAGGGCAGTGGCGGTTTAAACAAAAACAACAAAAAAAGAACAAACATACATGTTCAGGTTTAACTGGTCGTACAAACTCTGCACTCAACCCACTTCCGTCCACAGGAATAACCTTTCCATCGCTGCGTCACACACTGGCTACTCGCGGTTAGAAACATTGGTGAATAGATTCTGGTTCACCACCAACGGACATCGCCATCAGTGAGCCACACACACAGCTGGAGCAGTTTTGCAGACGGATGTTATAATTTTAGGCACCCAAACGGTGTTTCCCTGTGTGCTGTTGGCAGTTTTGTAGTTGCAGGGTGTTGAAGGTGTCCAGTGTACGACACAATGAAAGTATAAAAACCACTCTCCTCTAGAACAATTTTCCAAGATTCAAACTCTGCATATTTTCAGGCGGTTAAGTTTGCATTTTGTGTGTCCTAAAATGTTCCGGACGGCAAGAAAATGTAAAGTCTGCGTAAAAATGATTGCGAATGTTACTGTGTCCCAGTCGATTCTTTTTTACATTCTTTTTACAGTATATGCCAACGACATAATTCAATTGAAAAGGTGGATGAGTGCCAAGCGCTCACGGCCCGGGCTCGATGCACCGCGCACGTACACTGTCCTCGTATTCATGAAGCGTTGACGCGAGCGGTGCGTCGGGCAATTTATTGTCCAAATGAGAATGCTTTGAAACACGCTGGCTTACAGGGGAAGAGGAAGCCTGTGTGCACGGCTACCTGTCTAATCTCTAATTGTCGTTTTATCAGAAAATTCCACTCATGTAATCCGTAAATTACACCCATCGCGACTGTAACGAATATATAAACTGCAGGGCTCTTAAATTACAGACCACACACCATACATGCAGGTACTGTAGCAACTGCCCCAACCACAATTAAGCAAATCCCAGCATACACTGGGGCGAGAGGTGGGGTCCTGTATGGAAACGCCCCAGCCTGCTGCCATAACATGATAATTACATGTTAAATATGTAAACATGGAGTCTAGGGCAACTATTCTCAAACAATGGGCATCTTTTTAACAATTAGAAGTGGGCCTTCTGTCACAAAGGATTGGGAACCTCTGGTCTAGTTCACACCATCACAAGTCTTTTCATCTGGTGGGTGTAGAATGAAAACCTTTGTGTCACTGTGGGGGCTTCTAGACTGGACTTGAGCCAGGACTATTATGTTCCAGGTGTGTCACTGTGGCAAATTTAAAATTCCCCATCGGGCACGTCGGCTGTTGTTGTTCATTCTAGACAATAAGGGTTGTCGTTTTTTTAGTCGACAGCTTGGGAGAGTTTGAGGATGAGAATAAGGTAAACGGTGTCACCAAACGGTAGCATGTGTGCGGGGAATGGACTGACCTTATCTCGCTGCTCAGAATAGAGTCAAATGGGCTCAACGCTTGTTTTTTCCACAAGCATTTATTTTAGGAGACTTCACAGGGAGAGCTAGCAACCAGATATCTTTAGATGGATTTGAACAAACTTTTTTTTTAAAGAGATATACAAGTAAAATATAAAAAAATTGAAGCAGTGCTCCTAAAACTAGCTTCTGTTTACAGCATCAGGGACATTGATTTGCTTCTGTCTATTTCAATTTGTGTTTTCCCAGGTAAACATCTTTCTGTAAATTAACTATTGATGGAAACCTTTAGGGAAAAGCTGCTCGTCTCCCAGTGAATTTGCCCTGGGATGGAAGTAGGTCATAGGCTCCAGTATGGTGTCTACTGAAGTTAACGTGCCAGTCTTGAGTACAGATGACGCTTTTAACTTAACCTCTCTTTTTCTCTCACACATAAGTGACTTTCCCAATATATATTCACAAAGATGTAATGCCCCCCCACCTCCTCTCTCTCTCACACACACTCAAACACGGGAAAAGAAAGAAAAGTAAATCATGTCTGAGGTAATTGGACCAGTGGGCCTGATGATGCTCTGTGACTTTATTTGTCTTTCTTTGTCTGTATCTTATCGTTTCTCCCGCTCTATCGGTTGCCTAGAAACCTGCATGGAAATGGAAAGAAAAGGTCAGGCAAACCGTTCAAGTTATTCATCCACTGTGTGTAGGTGTTAGCGTGTTTGCAGCGTATAGAGCAGAAGGGTGAAGTGGTTCATAAGCACTATACTACAAAATGTTGTCTTGCCCCGATCCATTTGATGTATGAGGTTGGTGTGGGGCACTTACAGTTGTGACGTAATCGGGTGGAAGTAATTAATAAAACCAATCGGATCTGGGCAGTCCGTTGGTTGTTTGGGACTCATTGTCACTGAAACGTGAGATGCAAGCGAATTAAGGCAGGAACATGCTCTTGTCGCAGCTCGATAGGTTTTTGTCCTGCACAATATGCTGTTCATCAAAATGTCCCCATTTTATGCAACACGCTAAAAAGGATCCAAGCTAACCACTTGTTGCTTCATTCTCTTCCTCTGCAGGTATGGCCTCACAAGTCCTGGTCTACCCACCACACATTTATCAAACCCAGACAAGTGCCTTTAGCAGCGTGAAGAAACTCAAAGCGGAGCCCAGCAGCTGTGTGTACCATGAGAGAGCACACCTGTCGACTCATCTGAACCGCAGAACCCTTGGAATCGTGCAGCCGACCAAACAAGCCCGCTCGTTTGTGAACCCTGACTCGGCGGCGGGCGTGAAAGTGCGCGGAGGACAACAGTACACGGTGCAGACGGTGGTGGTCCGTGGTGTACAGAGACAAGAGACTGGTAATAGAGGAGGAGGACGAGGCCAAGGAGGAGGAGGACGAGGCCCGGCGGCGGCCCAGCAGCGACAGGACACAGGGGTCGTCCACTCGCAGGGCAAAGAGGAGCAGCAGCAGCAGCAGCAGCAGCAGACAGACACAGCAAGTGGGGGCAGCAGTGGAGCAACAGGGGCAGGAGGAGGGGGAAGGGGAGAGGGCCGGAGTGGAGGGGGAGAGGAAGAGGGTGACAAAGAAGAGGACTGTGGAGGTTTGAACTCAGCCGACGGCCCCCAGCGATGCGGGCTGAAACGCAAGAGTGAGGAGCTTGGGAACCGAGGGAGCACCATGCAGATTGTGGAGGAACTGACGATGCTGCCTGCCATAATGCAAACAACGAATGTGGGGAACGCGGCCGCGGGGGGGCCCTCGAAAGCGGGTGCAGGAGGGATGGGAGGAGGGGACGGGGACTATCAGGTGGTACAGCATGAGGTCTTGTGCTCCATGAAGAATACTTATGAGGTGCTGGATTTCTTGGGCCGCGGCACCTTTGGCCAAGTGGTGAAGTGCTGGAAGAGGGGCACGGGCGAGGTGGTGGCTGTGAAGATCTTGAAGAACCACCCTTCGTACGCGCGGCAGGGTCAGATCGAAGTGGGCATCCTGGCCCGTCTGAGCGCGGAGAACGCCGACGAGCACAACCTGGTGCGAGCCTTTGAGTGTTTCCAGCACCGCAGCCACACCTGCCTGGTGTTTGAGATGCTCGAGCAGAACCTGTACGATTTCCTCAAGCAGAATAAGTTCAGCCCGCTGCCCCTGAAGGTGATCCGCCCCGTGCTACAGCAGGTAGCCACGGCGCTGAAGAAGCTGAAGAGCATGGGTCTGATACATGCAGACCTCAAGCCGGAGAACATCATGCTGGTGGACCCAGTGAGACAACCGTACCGGGTGAAGGTGATAGACTTCGGCTCAGCCAGCCACGTGTCCAAAGCAGTGTGCTCCACGTACCTCCAGTCTCGGTACTATAGGTGAGTAGAAAAGATAGAGATATCTTTATATATATCTATGTATATATTTTAGTTTCTCTAAACTAAACTAATTTCAGTCTGTGTTGGTCCAGGCGCCATAGTTGCGTTACAAAATGTCCTTCCTCTTGACAAAACAAGGAAATGTTTCCCATACTGAACAACATCCTGCCTGTTTAGGACCCGCATACCACACTCTGAGAAAATGTGACCCTGCTGTATTGACTGGCAGATTACAGACTTGCATGTCTCCACTGCCGGGGGCCCAAGAATTTAAAATATTATGTAAAATGTTTTTCTTTTTTTACTCTGTGGACATTTCTTCGATGACTTGCATTGTGGGTAAAACGGCTTTGCCTTGAAAGAATAGATAGGGAAATATTTGAATGCAATACAATATTTGTGACAACGGCTATAATGAGTAAATACAGGAGGCAAATTACTGAATGCCATTCCAAAGTATTGCTCAGGGTACAACAACATTGTTTTTGCCATTTCAGGATGTGCAAAAGGTATGACAAGTAGCATTATATTATAGTGCTGGGGTGTGATTTAGAAAAACAGGCCTAAATGGTTTCAACTGTTGAGTGATAGGCAGTTGTGACCCACTTGTTGTTCGCTGTTCGCTGTGTACTTAACCTTGTTTTGCATAGAGACTGAGATGGTAAGAAATGATAAAATGAGCCATTTTGCACTAATCGTCTCCTCATTCCATGCCCAGTAATGAATGAGGTTTTGTACATAGATCCCCCAATGATTTTAACCCTTGTTGTTGAGGTACGCTGTTCATTAGACACATTGATTCAACCAATCACAAACGCCAACTAGCTACAATATCATGAGGCTATACCTGTTTTACTTTTACCCTTTCCACTGCACAAGGAATGAACCGTGGCATTTAATATCAGCCATACAGCCAGCATACCGGTGTGTGTGAACACAGTGGAAATAGAAAGATAATACTCCGTGGTGCACAAAGTAAAATGAGTGTTGCATTATTATTCTTTAAAAATGCGGCCTGTTCCAAATTCCTGCCTAAATAATTAATATGTATGGTGCAATAGGAAATCCGACGGATCATTAAGATTTCTAACAATACACTAAAAAGGGTGGGCTGATTCCCACTGGGAGCCACATGGTACGTCTGTACCAGCAGGCAGGATTGACCTTAAGAGGATATCTGCCTCCCTTCTCTTTCCACATGCTAGTGGGCCCCCTCTCAGAGGACATCCTATAACCGGTCCCACGTCCACGGCAGCAGCTCGATGCGGTCGACTGACGGATGTCTGATCAATCCGCCCCTCCTCAAATCTCACCAACTCTCCCACATGGCACGACTGGGTCGTTATCTAATTTCGATGAGTTGTGATGTGATGATCTTGAGGTAACGTGTCAGAAGGAAGACGACTCCGCATTAACTACAGCTGTGAAACACACGATGGTTGTAAAGCTGTGGAAAAGGGTACATTTAGATCTAGACCTGGACATTTAATTAGCCTGCGTGTAATGGAGGAGACACAATTCAGCTCCTATATTTAATGATTGTTGGAAACCTTCAGGGCTTGCTGTCCACCTGGCTGCAGTTTGTGTTATCTATGGAGCGTAAACATGTGCTGACCCCGTCCTGAGTGGAAAAAACAACAACTGAGCTTCAAGGTCCCCAGGTCCCTGTTTTCTTACAGCTTGTCACAGCATGACAGAAATATCTGAGATCCACTCAGACGGCGTGTTTAAGTGGATTCTGTGGCAGACTTTTAATACTCTTTTTTTTTTTTTTTTTTTTTTGTCTTAAGTCTTGATTTCTAAGGCTGGGAAGACTTGAGCCGGATTTATGAGCAACATCCAGGTCAGCTAGCTGTTTTTAGTGAGCGACATTTACATGGCATTTGAGTAATTCTCACTGCCTGCACACGGACGGTGAAGCAGTGTGCCCTGAGGGAATGAAATACGATTGATGGAAAAGAGGCAGAAAGGTGATTTTGACTTTTGTCTAAATTTTACCGTAGATTTTCCCACCGGGTGAGATGACATACTTTGTGTGACCATGTTCCCCGGCCGTAGTTGGAAGTTACCTGTTAATTACACATAATCATTGTATTCTCTTTTCATCCCAGATGAGCCACTTATTGTTTTTGTGAAATATGTCATGTTGTACTTACAACCTATTTCAGGAGATTGCTCAAAATAGAAGTGCTGTACTTTTGTGGGGGAGGATGTTCAGTTCTGCCGACCTCAAACTTTGATAAGCAGCACTTTTCTTGCAGGTGTTACATGGTATTGCACTTTGATACACAGGTTTGGAAGATTGTATAATTATCGAGTGACCTATGTGGCAAAATCCTACAAACACAAGATGCACATTGTATTAAAGCCACTGTCGTTTGGTATTGTTAGGTAGTGTTTTCATCAGGCTAGGTTCACGCCGGTGCACATTTCTAAAACATGGTTTACAACAATGTTACAACAATACTTTATTGTGCAATCATGTAATGCACCTGGTAGATAATAAAAGTTAATTCACATATTTAATCCCCGGGAAAGACCGACCTCCGCATAAGATGTTAAAAACCAATTTCTTCATTTTGTTTCTGATTTGTTTGATGACAAACCGTCTTGATGAAAAAGGCTTTGTGAGGGTCGTCCTTCTGTAGTCGCCCCCCCCCCCCCCCCCTCCCCCTGGCAGACGGGAGTATCCAAAGCAGAATGTGGGGGGCAGCGTTGCTGAGGCTAAGTGTGAATGGTTGCTTAAAATAGCTTGCGGGATGCCGGCCAGAGGGCTCTGACTTCTATAGATGGTGAAGCACATAGGCAGGCAGAAGGAAATAGAGACCGCCTGAAATACTAGAGAGCTCTCCCTTACTTACTCAAGGTCAACCAGCGCTAACGTCAGCTCTTTTGATTTTTCTTACATCCGCTTGCGTGTGTTTCTCCATGTGCGCGGCCTTAAACCTTGTGGGCCTAAAGTGATTTAGCAGCTTTTCAAATCAATACGTTTGACGGATGCACCAGCCACTTTGACAATTTACCAGCATTTACCGCCCTGATTCGCAGTCAGTCGCAGGCGCCTCCAATGTTATTCAATTGGCCCCACAATATGTAAACTGTTCCTAATGTTCAACTTAATGACTACAAGCAACATGTTAATCACTCTGGTCGATTCAGATTAGATGGAAATCCGACTCGTCCACTCAGTCCACTCAAGTCATTTCTTATTTTTTTGTCATTATCTTACATTATCTTACTCACATTAAGAATGTATTGTATTTGACCAAAGATGACAGCATTAGTGTTAAAACGTATTTTTTCCAAGCTAGACCAGTTGAGGTGTGTAAGCAACGAGCTGTTGTTTTTTCTCTCATTAAAATATTTGCTTGAAGACTACTGGATTCACTTTTTCCCAAAAAGTTAATTTGAAACCGGTTTTGTGTTTGTAGGAACGTTTGGGAACACAACAGTCTTCCCTTTTATGAACTGTGTACTTCAGTGGGTAATGAGTGTTTCCGGGTCCGTAAAAAGTGTCCCGCGCTCAGCATGAATCTAAATTATGCATCACAGTCAGATCTCAACATAATTTTTTCCTCATCTTCTGTCTTATAATCAAGCTGTTTGGTTATCGGTTCACTAATTCTCATCAGTTTCCATATTAATTTTCAAATACTTTTAGTTTCTTCCTGTTGGCTGTGTGACTCCCTTAAGGTCAACAAACTTGTGCTCGCATGCTAAAGACTCCAGTCCAGCTCGCTGTGCCAATCTGCATCACATGCTGTCATGCCTCGCTCCATGTTTACAGCTGCAGAAAATTACTTCTCTGGTCTGGTGCCAGCGGTCACATTGTTTTAATATAAAACACTTTTACTGATGAGTAACACAAATTGATGCAGTTAACCGAGCACATATGGTAATTATTTCCTTTCATGAAAAAGCATTTAGCTGTCCTCCAGCAAAGCTGCACAAGGGTGGTTACATGACATTGTGCGTGTGTGTGTGCACACACTCATCTCGGTGAGTCCCTGATTGTTGGCCTTTGCCACCGTGTTATTGAATAAATATTGATTGAATAATCCCTCAGAGTTGATGTTGATACCACGGAGGGCAGAGCTGGTTTGCTGTGATCCTACACATTAAATGCCTGTCATTGTGGAAGGCCCATATTGAGTTGGTGACAAACGGTTCATCATAACCGAAGAAATTCAAGACAAAAGACATTTCAGGACGCCTTTATGCCCTGGTTGGTGTTTTCATGAAGGTAAGGCTCTGCGGTGTAACGTCCATGTAGAACCGGTGTGACTTCACCTTGACAAAAAGCATCCTTCATGGCTGAGGCCTTGCAGTTGGCAACAACATGCAAATATCATTAACTCAAGGCTGTAAATTGATGATGACTCCTTTTTGCCCTTTTGCCGCATTTGTATAAAATACATGGCTTGAAATATATTTCAGTCATTTAATAAGCTGTGGTTTGCCTCTACTGTAATTGTTTTCGGATCTCACTTCCTACTGACCGAAAATGTTTTGATTGTGTTCCAGGGAATGTTGGCCCGGACAGCCAGTTCAGTCGTAGATGTAAGTGCTTGATGCAGTTAAAGACATTTATTCAAACAAAAATCTTCAAGATTATTGATTTGATATCATCGCGGTAATTTGTTTTCTTTTTATAAAAAACAAAAGCATATTTGTTTTTTAATCTGCTCCTTAATATGTAGGTGATTTTTACATCCATTCTCAATGAGCTGGGCCTGCTACTTTTAGATTATTTATATGAATTTCCATAAAGTCGTGCAAAACAACAAATGTTTTACTCGTTTATTTTAATTTTTTTATCACCCTCGGGTTAAGAGTTTTTCTTGTATTGTAGAAAGCAAGTTGAATTCAAAATACTTGTATTTTATCAGAAAAACTGAAGCAGAAAAGCTCAATTTTCCCAAACTTAAAAATAATGACTTAAACACTGACTCCATGTCAGCACTTTGAGCAGATAATATATCTAAAACATGTCTAAATCCTCGTCTCCTTAATCTTAACTTCGGTCCGGGCCGATCAGAGTGCAAGTGCTATTTCTGCCGTCGCTGCACTGCCTCTGTGTTCCTCTGAATAATGCAGAATGCCCCGAGAGGTTGTGGAATTTCAGTTCCTGGAAGAGACGTGAAGCGGAGCTCCATTCTTCCATCGTGGAGTCACCATGAGTGGGTCCGCTGTCTCGGCGGCTAACTGCACTACGGCCCGAATTAGCGGAGTTATCAGAACGAGCTCACGCAAAGGCCTCAGTAATCAGGCAAAGACAATGACACCCCCTCCCCCCGTGTTTGCTGTTCCCTGTTTGAGCTGGTAGGATGCCACTTTACACTTGCTTCCTCCCTGCGAGGTCGGAGCAGGAAGGATCACAGAACTATTTCGGGAGTGTGAGATAATGGCCATGAATAAGAAATCAAGACTGGGATAATTTCTCTGCTCTGCCTCGGCCCGTGTTTCAAAGATTATCACTCCAGTCTGCTCTGTTTTTTCTTTTTTTTCCCAGGTGAGATAAAAATAAGATGAAACTAAAGAAAAAAATAAACTTAGTGGTAGGGTATAATTAGCCTAACATGACACAGATACTCTAAACAAAATACTATACTGTTAATTGTATTAAATGTTAGCCGACAAGCCAAATGTTGTCAGAGTTACGGTTGTATGTGTGGAGCTTGTGACTTGATGACATATGTTACTTAAAGCTGTGTACTTGTGTACAAGCCTATCTCTGTCCCAAAGCATCAAAAGCCACAATTTGAACCCAGCAGAACTTTATGAACACAAAATGAGTGATGGTTAAAAGGATCAATTGTGACATAAAAATGCAACAGCGGCAAAAGCAATACGTTTTGAAAGTTTATCCATGCCTTGCTACGGGACATCGGCAAAGAAGGTCTGAGGAGGTCAACACTGTAGCGCACACGCACACTGTGTGTGTTTTGGAACGTGGCCACGCACAGTGTTTATCTTGGTTCTACTAACGTAACATTGCCTTGCGCCTCAGCCTCTTTGTGGATGGGAGGCAGACAAACAAGGAGGGAGGAGACCCAGAAGAAATGGTTGGAGGAAGGGAAGCAGCTGTTTGGGGTGAAGGAGCAAACAGCTGCACCCGTTGACCGGGGAGACACTTGTTTTCATTGGGCCGAGCAGCAAAGGGGAAGCTTCGGGCTGCCAGGAGAAAATACCAAATGGTATCAATGCTTTTGCCTGTTGAGTTTTTTTTTACTTTGCTGAACATCATAGCAGCCGTGTTGCCGTGTGCCCGTGCTCGGCCTGCCGTTACTGCTGTGCTCAGCGTTGTGCATTAGCGTTCGTCCAATGCAGGGTTGGTTATTATCCATCGGGCCTCGCACCAAAACCAATTCTGACACGTGGTAACGTACCGAGCCTGAATCTATTGAGACAAATGCAAGAAGTAGTTGTTGGAACAATTTATTTGTCCGATTATTTGAACAGTTTTCACACTTAATGGGCTTCTCTACAGTCCGACGGTATACAGCGCTAGAGAGGACGAGGCTCTGAAAGTGAAGTTTTGCCAATGCCGCTGGCAGGAACAGAGGACTCTTTGAAGACGTGTCTTTTCCCCCCTCCTCTGCTGCCCGTGGACGTGTTTTTCACCGATAACACACGAGACTCTGTGGAAACCTTTGAACGCGGTGATATTGTTGACAACTCTTGTCTCTCCCACAGTCTTCCATTTCCAATCTTCAAACATCGCAGTGTCAATCAACAGAACTGAAGAGAGGAAGGAAATGTTCATCTTTCAAACAAACTTATATTTGCAACACAAAGCATTCTAAATGGATATACTGCGTTAGATTGATATATGGATGGTGTGATGATGCACCCGTAGCTGTCACATGGCAATATTATAGTAATCACACATTTTGAGAGAGAAGGCTTATTTGGTGCTACGAGGCATGAGGTCATCAAATGTTTTTTTATTCTGTTAAATATGACATCTATCACGCCTTTCATTCCACTAGTTTGTGCCTGTTGAGGAAACATTTATTCTGTATAAACAACAAGTTCTTGCTCTTCTTTTCGTTATGTGTTTCCTTTTCCTTTTGGAGCTTTCGCACGCGGCAGTCACGTAGCTTCTAGTGGGCCCTCGGCTTGCACTTGATGGCTGGAGGATAGAAAATGGATTTTGTTTCACGGAAGGCCGGTAAGGCTTGAGTTGTTTTGACTTAGGACGTGCAACCATGGCGACATGGAGCATGCACGGGGCGACCTGGTGTTTCCCGTTTGGATTCTCTCTTTATGTCACTATTTTTTACTTTTGGACTTTAAACTAGAACTCAGCAGGGACAGGTCAAAGGAGTTTTTTTTATCCTGTGTGTGCCCAGAAGTACTTTGCATAGTCTTTGGAATCCGATGAAGAAATAAAGAAAGAGGTGCAGAGCAGCAGCCATTAGCTAAGCTGTGGGGCACGATCACATGCACGATCAAAGCATGCATGCATGTCAACAAAGCCAGAAGAAGCTCAGGTAACCACACACTCAGCGGGGGAGTGACTTCATTCTCTGCTCAGCTAGACTTTGCTCTACCATGTCTTTGCTCAGCAGAGAATAGTTGTTTGCTGCTATATTGATGTCCTTAATCCTGATTATTGATGGTGCAAGTTTATGCATTTGCTGTTTAAAGGGGCAGGAGTTAACAACTAGTCTCTAACTACTAGACCAATCTTATGAGGCCTTTTCCTGATGTTTATAAATAGGACATGCCTGTGAGGCTGAAATGGTTGGAATTACTGCCTGGTTGGTTTTCTACTGCTGCGTTGCTCACTGCACCAGCTGCAGCATGCATTTGTCTTGACCATGTGACGAATCGGTCTGAAAACTACTTTAGGACGCCTTTGATTTGCTGCTGCCATTGATGGTTGGTGGTATGTACAAATTTAGTTACTTGAGCGAATTGTGTTGAAATAGCATCCATGTCATGCTTTACATTATTTCCATCCTCTGGATTCCTTCATGTTGGTAGATGATTGGTGGGATATATTTTGAATCTGCTGAACGGAAGTGAAATTCTATCCATCACACATGTTTCACATGTTCTCTAATTTAAGGCCGGGTTGTTCTGAGTAATGCTGCTATTCGTGTAGTTATTAAGGGCGTAATTCATTTTGAAATAAGATTATATATAGCATATTGAATTGTGCCCTGACTTTTAGGTATTAAATAAGTGATTTATTTATTCGGCATACATCCATCATTATTTGAGCCAATTCCCAGTATTGTTTCCCTCCATTATCAGATAGGTGTTGGTCCTGAAGGTAAACAGCCATTGTGTGTTATTATGGCGTTGAGCTTGGAGGCCACTCTTGCACAGGAAGACTCAAGCTGTTTGTCAAACTGTCAACGTGCGTTACCTTTTATTCGTGCTCAGCGGCCTGCGTCACCACCAGCCCCCCATGTAACACGGTGGTACGGTGCTATTATGAAGTTACTCAAAGTAAGAGTAAGCCAGCATGTAGGTGAAACAGTAGTGACTGTTTCTCATTTCCATTCAGCCCAGCGCCGATAAAACAGCCATTCCAAGTCTGGCTGACCTGCTGTCCCACTCCGCCTGCTCTCTCATGCACAGCACTGCCTTACAATTCACTTGGCACGGATACAAATTTACCAGAAATTCCCATCTGACTGGCCATCAACAGGAATTCCTCAACGCTACTGATAATGGATGTGTGTGTGTGTGTGTGTGTGTGTGTGTGTGTGTGTGTATATTTTCTCATTAAATCAGCACCAGCCTGCAAAGCCGGAAAGGCACACGTGCAGTACTAAAACGGAGACAAAACACAACTTTGAGTTGTTGTTTGTGCATAAAGTGTCTTTATACTATCTGTATTAACACATATTTCACGTGTTATCGCTGTGACTTCGGACTAATGTGTGTTTTTCTTTTCTTTTCCACAGGGCTCCAGAGATTATTTTGGGATTGCCGTTTTGTGAAGCCATAGACATGTGGTCCCTAGGCTGTGTGATAGCTGAGCTTTTTCTGGGCTGGCCGCTGTACCCCGGGGCCCTGGAGTACGACCAGGTAAACAACCATCTCCCCACGACCAACACTCACTTTTTGGGGTTTCCGAACTTCCAGTCCCTCCTAGAATTTTCTATATGCAACTTATCCCTGCATCCTCCACTTCTACTTTGTTTCTCTGACCCAGGCCCCCACCTCCCAAACCCCCCTCCCTTGTTACACTGTCTATGTCAATGTCGAAGGAGCATTACACCCTCTGTTTCCGTCTCAGTTATTTTCCTGGTCTCTTCTCTGACCCCCTTTCTCTTTGGCTCTGTTTGCCATTAATCCCACACTCTACAGTCTAAGCAACCGACAGGGGAGTGGGTTCAGTGGGTTTGGTTCTGAGCTGCATTCAAACCAGCTTTTATTTTATCAATTACAGACTTGTCTTTGGTTAAGTGACTCAGCCATGGCTGTGGAAGTTTGCAAATATTTGATCCGTTGCCAATTTAGTCTAAATCCCCCCCAAAAGACCTCTTGCAGATATTCAGCCAAAGCCTTAAAAAGGCAGACGCGGACATCGAGCAGCAGGGTTTAGGACAAATTACTTGAAGCTGGGATGCGGAATTGTCATAGTGTGTAGAGAAAAGTAAGGCTAATGTGGTTTTAAGGGTGCCACAGTTATTTTCTATATATATATATATATATATATATATCTCGATGAAATAGACAGGAGGGAGAGGGCGGTTTTGCCAGTTAGGGAAAGAAAAAACGCTGTGCGTAATCAGACGTGGGAAGAATGTCAGCGATCGATGGGTTGAATGAAGTAAGAGACCGAGGGGCTCAAGTGACTCAAGTCACAAATTCGCAGCGTGTTCACTGCTCCCTCGGTGACGTGCGTGCCCTGAGGATTGCATCAGCTGGCGTCTGTGACAGTGAGCAGAAAGGCACATCATTCTGATGGATGGTGTGTCTATTAGTAGCCGTCGGATATCTGCCTCTCCCAGTGGAGCCCTGACGGGGTCTTTCCGGGACTAGACTGATCTGGGCTCATGCTGGGCCCCTTCCCCTCCCCCCTGGAGGCCTGTCTACTCGAAGCCTGCCAGCAGAGCCCCCGTAAGCTCCTGCTTGGTCCCAGAGCAGCACCCTCGCTACAGCAACCAGCCCCACTGCGCACCACAATCAAACCAAAGTATTTTCAAGGCCGGGCATCATTTTTCACCCTCCCCACGGCGGAGACAGGGGAAATAACTCAACACCTCCGAAAGAGATTTTGACTTTAGCACTGCGGCGGTCTAAATATGATGAATCTGTTTTTGCAGAGCCATTCGGCATGACGCTCGGTGGCTTTAGCTATCTGGGGGGAGCCTCCTAAATTTAGTAAGGCACGGCTTTGGGGTAATAGGCTTGATTAGGGTGGCTGGCATTTACTTGGGTTAGATGAGGAATCTGAGAGGGACAAATAAATAAAACCCTACATAACAAGTGAGAAGGAACCTGTGGAGTAAAGTATGTATCAGAACCCCCCCGGTATAATTCACTTCTAGGGAAAACCATACACCCCCCCCCCCCCCCCCCCCAAAAATCCAAATCACATTACCTACCGAATGAGTAAATATCCGATTAGCACAACTAATGTGTGACAGAACATGCTGTCGAACTGCACTGTCGTGAAGAATCACTGTTGGCCGATATCTGTTATTTCTGTTGTAAATATTAGTCTATGGTAAATATACGGATGAGAAGCTATTCTTTCTAGTGCCTGGGGCTTTACGATCCGTCCCGTGGTCCACTTTACTTCTGTCCAAAGACGTCACAACCTCCCACTGAAAGGCCTGCCGCACAGACAAATTGAAAAGTACTGATTTGCATGTCAATTTACCATGGCAACGGGCAAAGCTTTGAAGCTCCAGGGTTATCCTTGCTAGTCTTACATCATGTCGGAATGCATCTCAAATCAATAATTGGTTAGCACAAGCAAAACAAGAGTTTTCACAGACGCTTTTTAAATTGAATGATTGAATAGCTGTGACCCCCTTTTCTTCTTCATTTTATCTTTCTGGAAGGGGTCTTGTTCCATTCTACACAGCAAATTGTATTTATAAGTCTGGCTCCTCCTACTCCATGCCGCTCCTTTAGCTCTCTGCTATCCTAAAAATGACAGTTAAAGTGAGATGTGCAGTGTGAAGGGGAGTGACCGGTGGAATGTTATAGTCAGTCAGTGGGGGACCGGGCTCTGTTGATGAGCCCGACTGCCGACGGGAAGAAACTGTTCGTGTGGCGGGAGGTCTTAGTCCTGATGGACCTCAGCCTCCTGCCGGATGTAAGGGGCACAAACAGTTTTTGTCCGGGGTGAGAGGGGTCGGCTACGATCTTTTTAGCTCGCTTCAGAGACCTGGAAACGAACAAGTCCTGCAGGGACGGCAGATTGCAGCCGATCACCCTCTCTGCAGAGCGGATGACACGCTGCAGCCTGCCCTTGTCCTTGGCTGTGGCTGCAGCGTACCAGATGGCGATGGAGGAGCAGAGGATGGACTCCATGATGGCCGTGCAGAAGTGGACCATCATCGTCTTTGGCAGGTTGAATTTCTTCAGCTGCTTCAGGAAGAACAACTTCTGCTGCGCCTTCTTTGTGGTGGAGCTGATGTTCAGCTCCCACTTGAGATCCTGGGTGATGATGGAGCCCAGGAAACGGAAGGAATCCACAATAGTGACGGGGGAGTCACACAGGGTGATGGGGGAGGGTGGGGCTCTGTTCCTCTGGAAATCCACAACCATCTCCACTGTCTTTAGAGCGTTGAGCTCCAGGTTGTTCTGGCTGCACCAGGACACCAGATGGTCAGACTCCCACCTGTAGGCGGACTCGTCCCCACCAGAGATCAGTCCAATGAGGGTGGTGTCATCCGCAAACTTCAGGAGCTTGACGGACTGGTGACTGGAGGTGCAGCTGTTGGTGTACAGGGAGAAGAGCAGAGGGGAAAGAACGCAGCCTTGGGGGGAACCGGTGCTGATGGTCCGAGAGGCTGAGACATGTTTCCCCAGCTTCACGTGCTGCTTCCTGTCAGACAGGAAGTCTGTGCAGGTGGAGTCGGGCACGTGCAGCTGGGAGAGTTTGTCCTGCAGCAGAGACGGGATGATGGTATTGAAGGCAGAGATGAAGTCCACAAACAGGATCTTGGCGTAGGTTCCTGGGAGTCCAGATGCTGGAGGATGTAGTGGAGGGCCATGTTGACAGCATAGATAGATAGATTGATACTTTATTGATCCCTCAAGAGGGAAATTTTGGTATCACAGCAGCATGTACAGGGAAGTAAATAGAATAAAAAGATACACATTATATACAATATAATAAGATAGAAATATTAAATTATTAAATTAAATTAAGTTAAATAAACGGTCCACAGACCTGTTGGCTCTGTAGGCGAACTGCAGGGGGTCCAGGAGGGAGTCGGTGAGGGACTTCAGGTGGGTCAGGACTAGCCGTTCAAAAGACTCCATGACTACAGAGGTCAGGGCGACGAGCCTGTAGTCATTGAGTCCTGTGATCCTGGGCTTCTTGGTAACAGGGATGTGAGTGACTTTGTTTATCCCAGGAGCTCCATTTGCCATTTCTTTCTTTGTCTCTCTTGCTTTCTATGTCATTGGAAAAGTGTTCCAACCAGGGTGCCTGGTTCACACTTTTGCAGAGGCTAGAATAATTTGCGCTTGCTTTGTGTCTTTTCTTTGGTGCTCGACCAACCTTACAGCCTGGGGGATTTCTTAGGATAGAAAGACAGAGGCGGGGTAGCAAACATAATTGGGTTTTGTGGGCTTGTAAGGCGTCAACTCCCCAGAAGGACTAGTCTTTTTTGTATATATCGGAGTGCAAAAAATGTGAAGGAGATTGATTGTACATTGGAGGGGTAGGGTGGTGTGGATAATATAATCTACGACGAGACACACGTTTATCTATTAAAGTAAAGGATATCATTGAAATGGACCTTTTATGGCGTTCATTGTTATTTGAACTGCCATAAACTAAATGCTGCCTGTGCTTCCTGTCGGCTCTGCTGCAGGCCCAGGCTCGCTAGATAGTTGTTTGTTGGAGCCGTAGCTTTGCACCAGTGATCTCACTGGTCTGTGAGATCTCTGCAGAGACACGCCTTTCACAGAAAATAAGGGTTTTCCCGTCAGAAGAATTTTCCCACCCACATGCTCTGGCTGGGTGTTTTTTTTAATCTCAACATCTTAAACGTGATTTGCATATTGTTCAGCTTGATAATAATAATACAACAATTACAAATATATTGAATTAGGGGAATCTGGTCTGTACTTTCAGGTTAAAGTTTGCTGGAATAAACTGCGTAATCAACGGATGTTATGAATAGTCAATGCAAAATACAGAAAGTTAGAAAAAGAAAAGGAAAGACATCTGGATGGATGCAAATCTGAATGTACATGGAGAATGGGAAATCCAAATGGGAGAAATGGACAGTGACACAATGTGTTTTACGATACTTTGATGTTTGTGTGCCTTGAGATAAGCGAGCAGATCTCCACTATTCAAATATCTCCTTTGCAGAGGAGATTACAGTCATCATGCAAGCTGTCACAATCCCAGTGGATGTGTTCCTTGATAGGTCCCGCCCACACAAACGGACACGTTGCAGTATTTACACCTTAGCGACAGACTGGTATAAGCCTACTGCTTAAAGCATTGCATTAGCCAGGAGGAGCACCTTGAAGATCATGAGAACATGAGAAGCTTCCAACAAAAACATTTTGAGTTCATATTTCACTTTTGAGATAGGAGGTGCTTACTACCTCACAATCTCACTCTCACTCATTCAAATAGAAAGTCATGGATAGTTCATTTGAATCCTTTAGAGTCTTTAATTGAATGTGTGCAGCGTCCCCATATGTCTGGCTCTTTTTTTGCCAGGTTGCGCCGAACCTCTAATGGTTGTTCTCCTTTCCACTTGGGTGTGATTGACGTCAGCCCTGCCGTTCCCTGGTCTTCTCTCGTAAACCCGAGTGCCCCTTAGTGTCCGACTGACGCGCCTCGTTGCCCAGCGAAGCATTTGGCGCTGACGCTGTAAGAACCGTGTCATCAAAGTTTACACCAAAAGGCTCAGAAACACGAGCTACCCTCAGTGCTGGGGGCTTATTTGGGTCTAGCCACTAGTCGGAAATGCCTCATCTCCAAGGTCTCTCCAGCTGTTGCCGGTGTGTGCACGTGTACACTAGCTAACTTAAGTGACTTGATGCAGTGTCTGCACTGCCTTACATGGGGGGCAATTATTAGTATGTGAAAGATGCTGTTAGTGTAAACTGCTCAGGTGTTGTTTCGAAAAATTAGTGTGGTGTCTTATGTTTATATTCTCTTTTTTTCTTCTTCCTTGTTTCACTTCACAACAGATTCGCTACATTTCTCAGACGCAAGGTCTGCCAGGGGAACATCTATTGAATTCTGGGACAAAGAAGACACGGTTCTTTTGCAAAGAGTCTGACTCACCTTATGCAGCATGGAGACTAAAGGTGAGGACTGATAACGAACCTTCGAAATACGGCTTGATTTGCTTAAACATGAGTTAAAATCATGCTTAAAGTCAATCAGAAAACCGACGGACTTAACGTACAAACCATAAAGATGACTCTTAAGTCATGAGAATACCCACTAAATATTTTTTTCTTTTTTCTGTAGTCAACAGATGAGCATGAGACTGAGACTGGAATGAAATCAAAGGAAGCCAGGAAGTACATCTTCAGCTGTTTGGACGACATAGCGCACGTATGTTCAGCTGCCCGGACCACAAATGCACCTAACAGGACGTCAGAGAAAGCTCAACACGACACGTTTAGAGGATGTAGGCTACTGGGTCTTTAACCAGAGGAACTACACCCACAGAACAGAATACAAACGTATCTTATTTTTGGGAAACAAAGAAGCGTCTGGAAGCTTAACGTGACGCAAGTTAAATGCTCAAAACCAAACTCAAAAGTGAAGCTTCAAGTTGTTTAAAGTCACCACGGGCGGGAATTCCCCAGAAAACCACCGATGCTTTTCAGGTCTGTTTTCAGTCATAGGAGTTGCTGGAGAATTCATGTTCGTGACTGTTCATCATTCTTAGGAAATTGGTGTCCATAGCAAAACTTTTTGATCAATCACAAACGGCGCTCTTTGTAATATGACATTTCCCGTCTCTCCAGGTGAAAGATTTTTCACCTGTTCCTGTTCATCAGTAGAATTTCTGTTTTCCAGGTGAACTTGGTGATGAATCTGGAAGGTTGCGACCTGTTGGTGGAGAAGGCGGACCGCCGAGAGTTTGTGGGCCTGCTGAAGAAGATGTTGTTGATTGATGCGGAGGAGAGGATCACCCCTGCAGAAGCTCTCAGCCACCCCTTCGTAACGATGCAACACCTGCTGGACTTTCCCCATAGTAACCAGTGAGTCCTCTTTTTCCTATGATCTTTCCCACATGTTGTCAGTTCGACCGTCCATGATTTAAACTTTAACTCTTCTGCCCGTAGTGTGAAATCATGTTTCCACATCATGGATGTTTGCTGGACTCGTCCCAGTGCATACGAGGCGGCCAACAGAAACAAAGGGCCTTTCATCCGAACTGTTGCCACGACAGCTGCTGCCTCTGTCAACCACCCATTCAGCAAGATTACCGGTGTCCACCCTCAAGTAAGTCGTTAAAGACCAGTATGTGTCCATTTCTGAGTGTGTGGTGGGGGGTGTTGTCTTCTTTACATTTCTAAATGACCCTATTTATGTACTAAACTGTGTTTCCCAAACTGGGAATTGAAGAAAATATGACAATATCTGAATGATGGAACAATCCCAGATGGTGTTGCTCATGGACATGCTGTGTTGTTCTGTTCATCTGCTCCTGTGAAGACTGATCATGTAGACCATTTCCTCGCCTTTATTGCGTTTCTGTGTTCCGACTCACCCATCTTATTGCGTCCTAGCAGGGCTGTCATGGCAACAAAATCACGTCATGTTTCTGAGGTCATGGCAACGGTGCAAATCAGCGTTGTTGCTGAGGAAAGAAAAGGAGCTGACCCTTTTTTAGATCTTGAAAATGCAAAACCAACCGTAGTCCGTTCAAAAGCCTCTGTTCTGAGGATAAAGACGTTGAATAATAAGGGATATAAGGAACATGTTAGGGGGCTCTCTCTAACTGCTATACTGAATCCAAACCTGTTGAACGAGTAACTGGTCACTTTCTTTGCATAATAAAACTGCTCAGCTATAATTTCTATTTTCATGGAGTATACATAGTAATTGTTATATCTTTGTTCTTCAGCAGAATTTAAAGGGAAAATGTGGCGGCTTTTTTAGTTTTATCCTCTGAAAGGCGGCTTTGTTTTTGCCATCATGTATATGGGGGTTGGGCTATGTTCAGAAGCTGCAGCAGAACAATATAGGCCTAGTTCCCGTTATTCAATAAATGTAATTATAGCCAGACACAAGAGCAGTAATGAAGCTGAGGCATATGCTTAGGTTCTTTGTTTAGCCCTCAGGCTTTTCTCAAACAGTAAATTCCACATTTTCTGATGGCCTTTAAGTTATCCAACTTTAAAAGAATTGAACCTTGTGAGCCTTGATGAATTCTTTCAGTTTAAGAGCATGTTCATATACAAAGGTTTCCAATCATGCAATATAATATAACAGATTACGTATAAAAAAATAAAAATAAAACTGTATAACACATTAGGACCTTAAATAATTTACATGTGCCCAATGAAATCCTTAAAGCAGCGTATTCGTAAGAAAGTGGCCCTCGGATACCTTCAAGTTCATCATGAAAGGAAAAGGGCTATGTCTAAAGATAACTGACTAACCCAGTGATGTGTCAGTAACTGGTCCCTGTGCTCCATCCGGCTAAAATACACACAACCCTTGACAGGAATGTTGCCATCTACTGGCTTTTAGATGGTATTGTTGATCATTGTTCTTCCTCAGAAAAGTCCAGTCATATCCCTTCTTTATTTTTTAGGGATTAGCCCCATCAGCCCAATCAGTGATGCACCCTGGGATACCACTGCAGACAGGAAGTGGACAGTTTGGATGCAGCGATTCATTTCCACAGGCACTCATTCTGTGTCCCCCAACCATTCAAGGTAGGAGGTGTAAAGCCTTATTTCTCTTTTCCCTTTTCTTTTCTTTTTCAAAATATCTTTAAAGTCAAAGCTTTCTTCTCCATTTTCCCTGCAGGAATCCCCACCAACACAGCTAAACCAACAGGCTACTCTGTTCGAATGGAGGGATCTGTGCCTCTGGTCACTCAAGCACCTTCCATCCAGCCCATACAAATCAGACCTGGAGTCATCACACAGGTAATAAAGCTCAAAGAACATATTATGAGATGGAGGCAGCTTTGCCTATTCAGTAAGTAGTAGTAGTAAATATGTAACTAATGTACTCTTGGGTGAACGTTAATGAAGTTGAAAGTTTGATGTCAAGCTAATAAAAGCATCACAGAGTGGAAAAATACCAGTAAATTACGGCTTTGCTTCTCCGAACTTCAACAGTCCTGGTCCAGCCGTGCACAGCAGATCTTGGTGCCCACTTGGCAGCAGGTGACATCAGTGCCTCCACCACCAACCACTTTGGCAGCTGACTCTGTAGCCGGCTCACAAAGATTGGGTGACTGGGGGTAAGCAGTTTGTTTTTCGAGGTCACTGCTCACAATCTTTTTGGTACATAATCCTTTTCCATTCTTGATGTGTTCTATATAGTTCCAATAAGGAGTATTATTTAAAGCAAAATGTATTTGTGCTTTATTACCGTTACTTGCAACATACACGCTGTAGGGCTGTAGGGAATGACTGTACTGCTCTGATACAGCACGCTCTCTTCCCTGAATAATAATGATCGATGAGTCATGCATGTCCCTTGGGACTAGTGACTGAGACTATTTTGTTAGTAATGGTGCTAAAGATTTTTGGCTCAATTTGCAATGTTCTGTTTCCTTAATGCAGGAAAGTGCGTCCCCATGGTAACCATTACAGCTCCATGATTGCTCATTCTCAGCCATTCTTAACCAACCAAATGGCCATGTCCACCCACCAGCCAATCAACATAGGCATTGCACATGTGGTGTGGCCACAGCCAGCTGCCAACAAGAGAGCCAAGCCTTGTGTGAACAGGTATGTGAGTTTTGCTGTTTGCCACTAGAATGAACAGGCGTACACTAAAATGGGCTCCTCCATTCTGACGGTGACTTGTTTACCTCAATAGGGGCAGCAACTTCTCCCAAAACACAAACGTCCAAAATATAGCATGCCAGTCCCCAAAGATGGCCGATACAGCAAAGAATGTGCAGCAGGTGGAAGCCAGATTCCCAGAGGAAGGGCATGCTGCTGGAGAGGGGGCAGGGACACCGCAGGTGGAGGAGGATGAGAACTGCTGTAAAGTGGAGCCGGACTGTGAGGAGCTGTCAGTTTCTCAGGAGCAGCGGCAGGCCATGGTGATCTCCGACTTAGCTAGCCCAACTGTTAGTGTCATCAGCATCAGCAGCGACGAAGAGGAGAGCGCTCAACGGCACTCAATGGGGGAGTAAGTGCTGACCATTCGGTTTCTGCTAACAATATACCCAAAGTCCCCCCACCCTCCCCCGCCCCAAGAACTGTTGTCTTATTTTGTCCGACCGTCTCTGCACACAGGTGTAAGGGCAGTGCGGCTTGTGAGGCGTGTCAGAGTACAGTCAGTATGGAGAGAGTCTGCTCCCTCAGCAGTCCAGACAGCACGCTCAGCACCAGCTCTTCAGCCTCAGCCCAGTCCAGCACCTCACCCTGCAAACACCCCAACAGGTACGCTCCATGCAACCAAATCAAACGCGGCTCGCACAGATGTTTATCCTGGTTGTGCGTCGGTCCTAACCTTCGCTCCTCACTGCTCGTCCTCTTGCAGCATGTCGGACGACGAACAGGAGAGCTGTTGCGACACGGTGGACAGCTCGCCCGCCTCGAACGCCTCCGGCCATAGCAACAGTCCCTTCGCACAGCAGCGCTTTATCGCAGACGGCAACCATAACCGCGAGCCCCGCGTTGCGTGCGTGGCCCCGGAGACCGAGCCCAGCAGGCCGACAGTTCGCACCGTCGTGGTGCCTCCAATGAGAGTGCATAACAACAACTACCCTGCTGTTAGCGAAGCATATGGTCACTCAGGTAAAACGGGACGAATCCATTGAGTATGTTACGTTTTAAAGTTTGACCGGGAGTGGACCTAAAAATGCATAGGTGTCACAAAGGCAGTGTGAAAGTTGTGCTTTCTGGTGGCCAGTTGCTGAAAGTGAGCTGTGTATTAAACCCAGGTTATCTCTGAACCTAAATATGAACACAGCCGGTGACAGGACACTAGTTCTTCTGCACACTTGGCTGCTTTGTGTCTGCTGTACACTCTGATGGTGTTATCCACTCAGAGGACTAGGAAGTGCATGAGTAGGTCATGCTAGCTGAAAGATCCAGTCACCACTGCTGCTGTCTACTCCACAGGTCACATGGCCTGGGATTACGCTGTCTTTGTAGACCACAGAGGTTCTCACAGGTGATTATAGGTGACCTGCCCTGAAGTATCCGCTCTGAACTGGAGTGGATATTTGTTTGCCGTCATTACTTCTCACTCTGGCTCCAGACTGACTCTGAGTGACCCTCTACCTGTGTGGATGTGCACTTTTTAAAGCTACATAAGACATGCGTAATTGCCCCGTAAGGTGTAAAGTCTTGTAAAGTCTTGAGTAAAACAAGCAGAGAACATGAGCAAATCTGGTTGCCATGAGCAAATGAATGCTCGATAAATGTTTCTTTCTGGAGTTACGCATGCTGTACGCTTTATTAACAGCTGTGGTCTCGGCAGCAACTGAGTACTTTTAAAAGCTACCTCTTTGTGGGTATTTTGAAATGAAGGCTGCAACTGTAAATCCTCAGAGAAAATCTTGCAGTCATATTGCCTTTCATGTCAAAGGATCCCCAAACTATTGCGACCAAAGCCCCACGTCTTAAAAGGGCACGGTTTGCTATTCTAGTGCTACCAGGTATATTTATAGCTGATGGTCTGACCTCACTTTAAGCTCTATGAGCAAGCTTAGTTAGCAACTCCTCTCAGATCCCCCCCCAAAACGTAGCTATTTATAATCTCCTAGCTGATATTAAGAAGACAGATGCCGCTATGTTTAAAGGTTTGGACCTGATCAAACAGCTGAACTCTGTGATAAGCCTGCAAAGTTGCCTCTCACAAATGTTGCCATTTCTGTAGTTGGATTCAGTCCCTGGTTGCTTTCTTTGCCTTTTTCCTTTTGCATTGTGATGCTGATAGTGGGTCACCAAATTACCAGCATTAACATGTCACCTCCATCTCTCTGTTTCTCCGTTCGTTGCTCTTCATGTGATCTTCCTCCTTCATAGAGTCTATATGCCTGTCCAAAGGGTGGGGCCTTCCTGGGCGACATCATCACCAGTCAACTCCCCTCCTCAACAGGCCGCAGAAGATGCCCCCTGCATTCCAGCCCCAGCAACAGCAGCCTATAGGGTTTGGGCAGGTAAGCGTCTGCAGCCACAAACACGTATGACTCAATCCCATGTACACACGAGGACGTCAACATACCCAACTTTGTAGTTGTCGTGTGTGAAGGGCTTGTTGTTCTGCAGAGAGACATTTGGCCCCTGGATCAATTGGAACATGGAGTAAACGCATTTGTCTGGCAAAAGAATCTATGCCAGATTGCATAATATATTTGGATGTCAAGTGAAAACAGATTGCAGGGAAAGAAAGCATGACCTCTGTTTTATCTTTGGCAGCGGTTGTGTTTTGCTAAGCGGTATCACACAAAGTAAGATGAGATAAATGTCAGGATTGTTCATGACTGATTAAAGACGCAACCTTGATGCGTAAAAAGGTGGAAACCGGCAGCATCGAGTGGCTCATGAAGACCAGCTGTGTCCATGCAGACAGAGACTCTTTATAGCATGCTGCTCTCTCTCCTAGGTGCAGCATTTTGGATCCTGCCACCAGGAATGGAACGGCAACTTTGCCCACCGGCGACCACAGGCCTATATTCCTCCTACAATGCATGGGCACACATTCACCCTGTCCCACAGCAGCCCAAACCACACCACGGGCCCCCACCCCCTCCCCCACCTTGGGGGCCACCCTCACACGCAGCCCACCTTACTGTCCTACCCCCCGTCTGGCCCCCTGGTCACGGCCGCGCCCGTGGCCCACCTCCTGGCTTCCCCCGTAGCCTCCCGCCCCGTCCTCCAGCCCACCTACAGCATCTCCCACCCGGCAGGCATCGTGCATCAGGTCACGGTGGGCCTCAACCACCGACTGCTGCCCTCCCCCACCTTGCACCCACAGGGCCCATTCAAGCCCCTCTTTCCTTCCTACATTGCCTCGCCCGCCTACGCCAGTTTCCCTCTCAGCCCCACCAAAATAAACCAGTACCCTTACATCTGAGCACAGCTGCCCAGGTGCCCTTTACACCACCCGAGGGCTGAGTGAGCGAGCAGGGCGAAATCGATCTTAGACCACATGGTTCTCATTTTCAAAAACCATGGCACAACCAGAGAGAAAGCAAGCTATTTTTTGAATCATGTAGACTTGTGTGTAATTGAACTTCAAGCTTTAACAAAAAAAAAAAAGAAGAAGACGAAGACGAAGAAAAAAAGATCACCAATGGTTGAGATGATTTTGGCAAACATTTAGAAGGAAACAGTGTATGAATGATCGGATGAATGAGTAGTTAAACTCACACTTAATGTGTATTTTGCACATTTGATATATATCTTTGCATTGGATCTTCTACGAATACTCCTCAAACAGGTAAAATAATTGGGGTGGTGTTGAATAGTTAGACTTTGCACCCCTGATCCCAGCTATTTTTCTATATTGCCTTCTTACGTGTGCAAGACACATCCATATTTGTAAAGCCATCCCAGTCTCTAGCTCTAGATTGACCGATTCACAAGTTGTCCAGTGTATGTCGTACTGCGTTTGAAGTATTTGTACCTTTTCTCGGTGTCTTTCGGTGTTAGCAATGTCAAGTCGAATAACCCGTTTGTATAGGGTTGTTCCTCACGCTGCATGTGGTCTTGCATGAGCAAAAATGTAAACGGAAAGATGCATAGACGTTGCTCTTATTGTTTGTGTCACAAGACTCGCTGCATTGTATAACTGTCCCCAGCCATAGTGCCTTACATATTTTGAGGTTGTTAATGTTACTACTTATATATGACTATATACATGAATATTAATGTACTGGACTGCGGCACTTGAAATTCCATTCAGTCGATGCATCCTATGTGTGAGTATATATATGCACTCGTGTATATGTCCATACATAGCCTGCATGGATGTGAAGCATCGCGGATAGCGGTGCTTCTCTTTTGGAGTCGGTGTATATTTCAGTGTGTAGTGAGTTACTTTTCTGTTCTTTCAACAAGAACAGCATGCTTTGCCGTTGCGAATACTTACCGTTTCATTAAAAACATTTTTTTTTTCTTCCTTCATTTTCCCTTTTCCCGAATGAACTAGTGTACAAAGTGCAAGTACTGAGTATTGCTTAACATTTGCTAATCACTTTCTATTTAGTGAAACTATTATTACAAACAGTATTTTTACTGTTTAATGAAACTGCAATACAATCTAAATAGTCGTTGATTTTATTTTCGTCTTCGTCTTTGTACTTTCATTTATTTGAGTGTTTTCACTTTGTTTCCTAGATGTGGTGGGCATGGCTTTGATTAGGTAAGGAAGAAAAAAATGCAAATTAATTCACAGTATGGAATTTTCTAAGCCTGAGCAAACCATGCAGTATTCGATATACACACATATATGGATATATAATATAGAGCTAGTCTATTTAGTACAGATGTTTGATAAGGTGTGAGTTAATTGTGTGCAATTCTCTCATTTATGCATGTGTGACAGTTAACTTTTCCCCTTTACATTATACCATTTGTCAAAGGCTTAAGGCTTATCGGTGTCGACTGCTTATTTTATACATTCCGTCAGGGAGGATATATACATATATGGTAGCACCAGTCTAGATATATGTAGATATGCCGTGCGTGCATTTTATCTGTTCATTTTACTAGTTAAGCGTGTATTTTCTTGTCTTTTATTTTCAAATGAAGTTGCTTTTGCAGCACCAAAGACTGTAATTCATTTCCTGAGCAAGGTAGCTATTCTGTTTGCATAGACCTCAGTTATAATATAGTATTGGAATGGGGTTGAATTAAAACAAACAAAAAAATAGTATTTAAACAAAACAAAAAAAATAGCTGCAATGGTTTTGTCTAGCTTATTGGGCAATTAATAAGTCGTATCATTTCTTTCTTGAATGTATCATAGGTAAGCTGCTACATGATGATTGCCACTTCGATAGCTGTGAAATTAGGTGATTTCTCTGAGTTTAAACCTAGTGTTGCTTTTTTTGTATAGGTCCCTAATTATCTGAAATAGAAGTGGTTTTGATTTTTGTGTTTTGCGTTCATATTTGGAGTGTCATTGTAACTACTGTACTGCTGATGATGAACATTAGTTGCATTTGTTGTTTTCTCGGGGTGTGTGTGTTTTTTGCATCAGTATTTTATCCTTATTAACCTTTTGGACTCATCACTGCATATATATAATGTATCAATGTAACTTAATTTCTGTATGTTTTCACATTGATGTTTTGTACGCTTCTGAAGCTATAGCTTGCGGGATTGATTTCACTTTTTCATTGCACGTATATATGCGCTATAATACCAGTACTCTCTTCTGTGTCACAAGAGCACTGTGAGATGCCAGAAGAAACACCTAAACATAACGTTCATTAAGTAGCTTCTGTCCACCAATTACACACAAACGCACTCGCCACTAAGCACTCACACACGTGGGATTAACTTTGGGGCGATTAGACCGTTTGTCCAAAAAACAAATTAGCCCGATGTTTCTGTTCCAAAATAATGTTTTACAACTTGTTTTTGCTGTTAAATTAATTTAAACCAATCTTTTGATGCAACTGTTCACTGTTGTATCTGGCAAGAATATCAGTCTGTCTTGTTATTCTAAACAGCCTTGTGCTCGGATCGCTCTGCCCTTTATGAGTGTCTCATATCGAAATGATGTTTTGTCAACGCAAAACTGTGGTTATTGTTATGTGTTCCTTAACGAAGTTGAGACAGTGTGAGCAGCACTGTGTATGTGCCTTGAGCTTCAGAAAGTGAGAATTCAAGATGGCGAATCCCCCCCCCCCCGTATTTGATGAGAAAGGCATAGAATCCACCAACGGGCCGTTAGCATAGAGACTGGGCGGCCTTTTAAACGGCCACGGTACCAGGAATACAATACACAAAACAGGACTTCATCGCATTGGTCATTCCAGGGACCTGAAGTCCTCTGGTCAGCTTGTCGTAGATGCTGGTGGTGCTCCTCTTGTGTCAGATAGCCGCCACCAGAGCCCCTGTGATAACACAAATACACACACAAACATCTTTTGGATAGTCTCTCCCCGGCTAAACAGTAGATGCAATACTTTACATCGTGCGGCCGTTGCACCACCAAGTGTTCTTAGATAATCTCCATGCTTTACATTACCTTGCATGTTCACTTTGTGGGCCTAGAAGCTGTCTGCTCGGAGGAGCTTTTCCATCGCGCATAGTGGAAAAGGCAGAGCGCGAGTAACCAGAGCGCTTTTAAAAAAACAAACAAAAAAACACCAGTCTGGTTTGGATGTTTATTCTTTGTTTTGGATGGAAACAGCTGTGTTAAGGAGGTTGTTGTTGTGAGTTCAAGACTCCACGTGTAAACACTTGCGTTGATATGGTTGTATGTATTTTGATACCTGTACGCTTTACTGATCATACTCGAGTGTCACTTTGGGAAAGAAAGCTCATGACAACAAGGCATGAACTTGGCGGATTAGTGCTTGATATAGTTCCCCCCCCAATAATCAGCATGTGAAGTGTAATCTGTGTTTTGATTCCTCCAAAGGTATTCACCAGCAATGCGCCTGCATAAACTCTCCCATACTTGTTAGGGAAAGAATGGATGCAAGAGTAGAGACATCTTAAAACCGTTTTCATTTCCCACACCATTGACACCTTGGGTTTATGGATACATGATTCTTTTTTTTTAGGATTCATTCAACATTTAACAGATAAAAGTTGTAAAATTACAGTGAAAGTGATAACTTTGATATCAGAAAACAAATCCTCTGCTGCGGTATTATCCTTTTAGAGATGTTAATTCAGGGTCTGTATTAGTACTACTGTGTTACTCTGATTTGATGAGGTTTGATTTACTCAAGCGCTTATTTTTCTGGTAATCTGTCAATTTTAAGAGTTAATTCCCACTGCAAGTTATGGAATCATCCGTTTAGATTGATCATCAAATAGAAATCTGAACTGTTACTGTTTCAATACCTGTATACTTTTGTGGCTTTGTTTTTTTTCCATTTTTCTTTCATTTTGCTCTTTTACTTTTGTGCTACACTAGTTTGCCATGTAGCAATTGCACTGTGCAATATTTACAGTATGAGAACTGGGAAAACTAACTCTATGGATGTGATGTCTCTTTACAGTTTGCGATAGTGTTTCCTCTCTAGTTCTCAGTGATTTAGGTGTGACCAAGCCTTCTCTACTTTGTCACATTAAGCGGGTTTTCCAGGTGACTCTTTTGGTGAGTGTCAAAATAAGACTTTATCGTGTATTATTGTTGAGATTCACTTTGAATTAAAAAAAATCTATCGATGCAGCTCCTTTCGACTTGGTCTGTTTTTACCTAATTATATTCATTCTGATGTTCTTCCAGTATTGAACAAATCTAACTGATCACATTACAATTCTTCCACCACATTGAACAGTGCCTGTAGCCACCTCTGGCACATTACACTCAAGGGATTTTCAACCTCATGGTAACATGTCGTCGTGGCGCAGGGGTTAGAGAAGATGTGCTGGAAAGCACAAGTTGTCCAGGCTGCCCCATGTTCCATGTTGAAGTGTCCCTGAGCAAGACACCTAACCCCTAATTGCTCCCCGGGCAAAAATGTGAAAAAGCCATGGGTTTAAAGTGTAATGTAAGTTGCTATGGATGAAAGCGTCTGCTAAATGTAATGTAATGTCACTATTTTGTTTTCAACTGTGCAAAATGAAGAATTTCTCATAAGACCTTAAGCTCCATCGTATAATAATAATAATAATAACATCTGAGTAATGTATTAAGAATATATATATATGTACAACCCACATCAAAAGTCAAGATGTGTAGACTTTTCAGATGGGGCTTGTCTTTAAATATCTGAAGTGCTGTTTCTGGGTCAGTGCTGCCACCTGGTGGCGGTAAGGAGGATGGCGCCAACGAGCAGGTCTACCACATTAAATATGTATCCAGGTGAAGCCCAGGACACAACGGAGGCCTTGGTGGAGGTAAATAAAACGTCAAGGTTGCCCTCGTGAGTGCAGACAGAGCCCGACTCACCACGTGCGTGAAACAAGAAGACGAAAAGTATCCCGCTCCGCATGTAGACGTGGTTCTGCCCGGCTTCATTCCCCCCAGCAGAGGTCGTGCTACGGACTGCGCGGCTCTACTTTCCCCAGATAACTAACAACAGAGAGGATAATTCGCTCAGTTTGAAGCAAAGACAAAGCCGCAGCTTCCATATTATTCTTAAGTCTGTCGCTAAACGCGCACCCTCCCCCCTCCCCGAGGCACCGCTGAATGTCAGCGCCGCGGCGCAGCGTGTGCGCGCCTCCCTGCGCCACTCGGGGACGACGGCCGGACCGAGCGGAGCAAGAGCGATAGGGCGGATTTAAAAAAAACAAAAAAAAAAGATCCTGTTCAGCGCGGCTTCCCGGCCACCCTCCGCCCCCCACCCCACCTCCCCTATCACCACCCCACCCTCCGCCCCCTCCCTCCCTCCCCCGTCCCCTCCCCTCCCCTTCAGCTCTGGACCACGACCGGACCGCGGGACGCGCCGTGTCTTCCCCCTTTGTTGAAGGCGCAGAGGGGTTGATCCGATGCATTATTTACGACCGAAACTTCAGCAACTCACCCTCCGGATATGGCTCCCGGTTTGAAGGGCGTGCGAGCGGGTCACCCCGTGGTGGTCGGAGCCGGACGAGCGGACCCCGGTGGGACCTCCCCGCGGAAGAAGGATGTCGGAGGAGAGGTGACGCGTTCGAGGACCAGGTGGCGACCCGGAGCCGCGGGGATGCTCGCCGACTGTCTGCTCTCCGTGGGGATGCTTTCACTCCTCGCCCGGTGCGCCGTGTCCGCAGAGGGTAAGACCCCCCCCCCCCAAACACACACACACACCGCCGGGGGGTCTGCTGCAGCGGAGAAGCCTCTGTCCCAACCACCGTGCGAGTGACGAGTTTGGGACATATTGGGGGTGTGTGGGGGGGCGCATACCTTTTTTTTTGGTTTTTGATAATCCGGCACATGCAATGCGCTGCCGGCGGGGGGGGGGGGGGGGGGTGAATCACGTGCAGGCTTCACGGATGGCTTAGTGGCATGCTTCATTTTTAGGAAAGGAAAGAAAACGTGCCCGGTGCATCTTTTATGCTCTTTGCGCGTGCTGTGACATGCGGAGGGCTGATTGTTGCATTGGAATTTGCGCAGTCGGGGAGAACGTCCGAAGCGCGCTGTTACTCAGCATCCATCCATTCCCCGACCGGCTGAAGGGTCTGCTGTGTGGCAGACATGCTGTTTGATGGGGTTGCTTGTACGTGATGTAACTCTCCTAATCTTTGCACCTGAGCCCGACGCTGCTCCCCTCTTCTGTCTCTGAGATCACATCGCACTGCACATACCTCGACCCTGTGATTAGGAGCCGTTTCCACCTCAACTTTCTCTCTCACACAAACTTCACTTCTGCAATTGTTCTGCAGTGGGAATTTCATGTTGTTGTTTTTTTATTATGTAGGTTGCATTTTCCTAAACGTTTATTCTGGGAATGTAGCATCTGGGTCAGCACTAATGACACAAATACACACACACACACACACACTGGAGCCCACTGGAGGTCCGTGTGTGTCTCTCTGGCTGTGTGAGAGGCAGCTGGGGTAAGATTGGCCGAGATGGCCGCCCTTCAACCATGAAGGCTTGAAGAGACGGCTCCAACTGCAAGAGACAATTCGTCTCATGCCTGTGCACCGCTTTGGCCTTCTGTCCCCCTCATGTCACCATTTAAACCACGTCGGCGTGGATGCCTTTAAAAGCGCTCATAGCCGTGGAAACAAAACAAAACAAGCGTGTGCGTGTGTGTGTGTGTGTGTGTGTGTGTGTGTGTGTGTGTGTGTGTGTGTGTGTCTCACGCTGTGCCCTCCCTCCAGTCTGTCCACATGTAGTGGCTGAAGTCTCACCTCTGCTGATGCACTGCTACAGTAGCAGCGTCTCCCTCCTCCCTCTCCTCACAGTCAGCACTTCCATTCTTAAACACATGAGTCCAGCAGCGACAGCAGCACCACCTGGACTATACATTACACATTTGATGAGAGAGGCATAGGGGTACTTTTACTATTTACTTAGGACAGGGACGAGACACAGAAAACTGCGCTTACGTTGGCTTCTGTGGAGGTGTGTGGAGTGAACGCTGGACTTGTTGGCGGTTTTATCTGAATTTGTTTGCATTAGTCTGTATGCGTTGCTGATTTCCACCATTCTTAGCTCCAAAAAAGGACCCTGGCTTTTCTTACATTCACCAATCTTTCTTTCGTATGGTGGCAGTTCTTGAGCCCACATGGAGCTCGTTCTTTTGTATTTAATTTAATTCTATTTATAGTTCAGTAATGATTTGAGTGTAATTTCTAATCTTTGGTCTGTGCCAAATCTCTTCTTTTCATGGTTCCCTATGGATCTTTATAATGGTATACATTTTTCAGTGGATTAAGTGTCCACCCATTCCGATGCACTGGATTGGTGTGGCTGCAGGTGGCGACCTTATTAAGTGGATCGGGTATTGATTAAAATGTGAGTGATGCACATTAAAGACTGATTCTCTGTCAACGCATGTGTTTCCTCCGCCAGTTAAATTCATCCATGGCGGTGGGCTTTTACTGTCACATTCACCTTTGGCCTCATATGCCTAACATGGAAACAGTCCAAGGAGTACTGTGCCGTATAAGTTCCAAGAGCATGACTGTTGGATTAGTACTCGGGGGAGAAGAATACATGATCACCAGAAGGCCGTTTGACCATACATCAATGAAGGCCTTTGGTTGGGGAAAATTCCATTTCAAGCGGTGCAGTTAATGTCTAGAAGACTTTATGATGGCTTCAGAATTTATAACATTACCACAATAAATCAGAAACAATGAATAATACGTTACAAAGTGGAAGTTTACAGTACTCCACCATGTCTCTTCACCATGTTATTAGAATACTACATTCAGGCTTTGACTTCAATCTACTAAATTCTACTACTGAATGAAAAACATCCTCAGTCACTGTGAGCTGCTAATATCCTGACTCACAGCTTCCTCCCCTTAATGTGTGAAGCCAGTACAACATGTGGTTACCATGGGAACCGCAATTTTTGTCCAGCAATAACCATTTCCTGCCATTAAACCCTTCAAAGGGGGCGGGGGGGGGGGGGGGGGCAGCGTGGGTTGATCTTTTTCATGCAGTTAGATTCATCTTTAATGCACTTGCAGGATGCCTTGTCTTGTTTATGGCTTTCTTACTAATAGAGAAAATAAGTTCAGCGGCAGCATATGGACACGCAGAAGAGTGATCCAAGCAAGGGCACCTTCGTTCCTTCCTCAACCAAACAACCCTCTTCTGACGTCAGCGCTGTTCAGTCCACCACAGCCCGTCCATTGCTTATGAGCGCTGACAGCTCAGTTTGGACGAGGGTTAACCTCACGGACCTCTCGCTGTACGAGATACGATCCCTGAGCTGTTGCCAGTCATCACTCTCTGCTGAAAAAATCCATTGAAAAGAGAAATGGCCGTGCGATTTAAAGACATTTTCCTATTTGCAACGCAGTCAGGGGCTTTTAACCACACGGTGCCTGTTAACAACGAGGATCTGCACAATACAACATTCTCTGAGATTTACCTTTGGTTTCTTTTTTCTTCTTGTTGATTCAGCCCAGATGAACCTTTTTATGAAAACCTTTCTGATGACCTGTCTGCGTGTGTGGTTTGGGTTTTCAGGAGCAAATATAAAGCAGGATCTCCTCGTTTGTATTCCTCATTTCACCCCATCGTAGGGATTTAATGGGCAGCAGTAAATGGGGAAAGCATGTCCGCGGGGCTTAAGATGTATGGCCATGTGTGTGGTGTGTGTGTGACACATTTAAGATAGATGCTGTCTCCTCCGGTGAAGTGTCAGTTCAGTTGTCGCATTTTGTCATAATGGGAACATTTGTCTTTGAAAACCGATTAAGATGGAAGCACATTTTCAAAATAAAATTGTTCAATGAAAATTCTCACCTTATTGTCCATTAGTTTCGTCCAGTATTTCATGCTGACGTTTTGACTGGAAGACCGTGTGAGTTCTGGTCAACATTATATTCTCCATAACTAGTATGTAGTAGTATTAGCAGAGGAAAATAACATGAATTGTTATCCATTCCTACTGTGATTATCTCACAGGGCTCTTCTGTTTCTTTTCCTGTCTTAAGGTTTGCAGTCCTTTCTCCTTCACTGCTGCAAACAAAGCAGGAAGCACTAACTAAACACATAGACATGATAAAAGGACACCACTGAACTATACAAGCAATAATGCCTGGCAGATGGTCCAAGACACTAATTAGAAGCCAGTTTGGCAATCGGGAAATATTGTGTGTGCGTTTCCCTCCAGTATCTGTCCGTACCTTTGTGCCTCTCCGTTTCTTTTGTCTCCCTCCCTCTTTTTTTTCTTTGTGTTTTGGCTGTTTGGTGCAGGTTGATGGCAGACAAAGAATTGGCTCTGCTGCTGCTTGCAAAGGGACAGCAGGCGATTTATGGGCACACAGCGTATAATACGCCACACAGCTCCTCGCAAGGCCGCCGTTCATCACGCTGCAGCATACATGTGCCGCGACAGGACACTGCATGAAAGGCCCCGATTCTCTGGGAAATTGAGAAATGTACCGTGTGAACGTCCCTATCATTCAGAATGAATACATCTCTTTTTTGCGTCTAATTTATCTCTCAAAGTGCAGTAATCTTCAAAAATTAAAATATTACTATCCATCTGTTTGAAAGTGTAAATCCACCTAAATATGCCTTCATTTAAATGCCAACCTGACAAATGATTTAGTAAAGATTTAGTAAATCTTTACTAAGACTTTAGTAAAGTTAGGGGAGCTTCATTAAAGATTGACTTTATCCATCTTAAATGTGTGCAAAATAACAAAATATGGACATTTGGTGATTGTGTCTAGAGATCGGGAATCTAGTGATATTAGACGGACCACAGGAACCAAACCAGGATATTAATCTAGTATTTAAAGGTTCCCCACAGGCGTTTCCAGTCATCCGTGTTGCATATTTCCATATTTCTGCTCAGGTTTTTATGTGCTTACATGCAGACTGGATGTCACCATACTCCAGGATGATAAAGGGGTCATGTGTCTCATCCTTAGGGTGCGGTTATACTCAAACAGCAGGTTGTAGCACCTATAAAAGCTCCTTACCCTTCTATTGAAAGTGTAATTTACAGGACATGGCAGCGTGAGTGTTCAGGGCCTCGATTGTGGTGTTTGTTGTCATGTTCAATCAAGCAACATTCTCTGTAACTTTGAGTGATTTCATGGGAAAAGGGAAAGATGTGGATGTTAAAAATGGATGAAAACATTTTTAGGAAAAGTGGATGAGGTGGGGTGAGACCAGGAATCAGGCCTTTGCTGTGCGTAAATAAGCAAAATGATCTTATTGACAAACTTTCAACTACATTTAACGGTATCACTGGCGTTTGGTCACTGTAACGTTCACACGGATGCCTCTGTGGACTGTGGCGTTCCCTTAGAACCTCTGCAGGAACCTCTGCAGGATGGGATTTGACATCACTTACACATACAAACTCATTAATAACACAGTGCACTCACACAACCAATATAATTACAAATAGTTGCCTACTTACAATTGTGTGCATTGTAAACGGTTGGTTTATGTGCTTGTTTCCGTGTTTGCAGGTGGTTTTCTTGGGTGGAGCATTCTGCAGACCTGCTAGCCCTTGTTGAAATCTGTACAACAATTGTTACCTGAAGTAATAAGATGAAAATAAGCTAAAAATCAGTTTAGACTGTCAGAGTTTGCAGGTTTTTCACTGCAGCAGCCCTTTCACATCACG